TCCTGTAGGAGTCAGGTGGGACTTTCAAGGGATTTCTCAGGACTCCTGAAGACTCCCGTGGGACTTTGAGGATTCTGAGGACTTTCGTTGGACTCCCGCAGGACTCGAAAGCTCCACAGAAGTCCCACGGGAGTCTTCAGGAGTCCTGAGAAATCCTTTGAAAGTCCCACCTGACTCCTACAGGATCTTGCAGGATCCCGCAGGACCCCGTGACAGGAGTCCCGTGGGAGTTTTGCCGAGAGTCTCGACTAGGGTTACCGCTATCTGCCTCCAGATGCAAGTTTTTGAGGAAAAAAGTAATGCGTTAGAACCATCTTGAAAATTTAGCTATAGCCCATTACTTTTTAAAATGAAATTGTGAATGTCGCTTACTCAAATTTTTAAAACAACTTCTTTTGGTAACGCTGTGACCGGCGAAATTATCAAGCATTGTTTTGCCTATATCTCAGTGAGAAAGAAACGAAAAGGCTTCATTCTAGTGTCAGAAGAAAGGCCGTAGTCGGTAGTTTAGATACTATTTCTTATCTTTTGTTGGAACAAAACAGTAAGTCGCATTATCAATTTGAAAATAGGAGCACAACAGACGTGACGAACAAGATGGTTCGTTCTACTTACTGCGCACCATATGACGGCTCACAGGACTCACTTGAAAAAAAAGAAATTCATTTTCTGACACTTTCGACTATACTCGACAACCTGGCATAAACAGTTTTGTTTACTTTTGAAAAAAATACTTAATCAGCGAAGTGTCGAGTTACGTGGACAAGCCGTTAGTTAGATCTAGATATTTTCATCTCAGTATCTTACCTCATTTCCTCTTTATACATAGTAAAAAAATATTTTCATACTTCCAGTTCAAGAAGACGGAGATGATAATAATACAATTAAAATTACTGATATAATATCGACAAAACCTTTGACAAATACGACAACTATAATTAAAACCATCACTCTTGAAGAAGCAGAAGAAGATGGTGGAAATAATGAATCACGGAATCCACTTAAAGTAGCTAAACAAACTGCTATAACTATAAATCAACCAGCACCTCCACAATTTAAACAATTTGAACCTTTAAAAGTTAAATTTCCTTCACGTGATCATTCAAAAGAGTTTACATCTTCTTCGTCTTCAAGCGCAGATACAATTGTTACTGTAGGAATGAGAGGTACTCTTTCGCAAAGGAAACTGTCTGTCGTTGTGAAATTGTATCATGTAAAGCTTTTTTTGTTGTCGACGTAGTACAGTCTAGTAAACAGAAGTTATGTTAGTTTTGTAACATTAATGCTGTATGGTGAACCCAACGTTTATTTATTTTTATCTAAGGCGATCATTATGGTGATCATTTGCATTATGTTGATTCGAGTAAAGCGAATACTCCCGCATCTCGTTATGGTGGCTATTATTCAATCTATCATGGAGGCGGTGCCTATTCGGGCTCAATAACTCCATCGAGTTGTCATTCAACAGCATTTGAAATGATGCATATTGAAAGTTTAAGAGAAAAATTAAATCGTTTAACAAGGGAAAGTCAAAATCTCACATCCGGCAGAGGTTCGATATTGACTTGTGTGTTTGCATGAGACATATACATATATTTGATTGAGATTGAAAGTTTTGAATTTGATCAGCTATTCCAAACGTTTTTATCCGTTTTAATTGTATTAATTATGTTTGCATGTTTGCACTGTTATTGAATGCTATACAGTGTGGATGAATGTATTCTATATTCGGATTTAGTTTTGTTGTATGTTATATTGTGCTGCATATTGTAGATATTTGATTAATGAATATAATACATTTTTTCTCGTTTTAGCTGATCTTGATGATAATTATGGTAGTCCAAGAGTATTACGTATTAAAGATGATGGGAAAACAACTCCAACAACTAGTTTAAGTACAGGTAATAAATTGATATTTCTCACATTTTTTCACGCTATCAAAAACGAACGATATTTCTATATATTAGACTTTAATCTGACAGTAAACCGTTCATTTTCTTAGATGGTACAACAATAGAGCAGCAGAAGACTCTTAAAAATCGTTAATACAGTTTAGACAATATAAAACTTCCATATTAGATGTAACTTAATGTATTCTATGTAGGAATATGAAAAAGTATAGATTTACGTATAGAACAGTATTGTTCATGTTAAGTGGAAGTATTTGATAGCTTTTTCAATCCATTTAAGATGAAGCTAAATTCAATCTTTCACCGCTCAGCTTCTCGATGGGTGAGTTGGTTTGACTCTTTTTTTTGTAAGTCTTATAAGAATCGAATGTTGTCCGTCATGTTTCATATGTAAATAAACTATTTTCGATAATAGAGCTATAATATACATAAAAAGACCATTATATTGGTAGTTTTTGGAGAACTGATGTAATTTTCAAAAAATCTTCTCAAGACTCTACTTTTGAAACAGATTTCAAAATTTGTTCGCATATAGAGGGTGTGTCTTGGTCTGCTCTATTAATTGTCGAAAATTGCAGGCTTGATCTCTTTTTGTTAAATGTTATTCGAAAAATAGTCCATTGCATTCGATTGGAATCCAATAGTAGGTTTTTGGGTGTCAAATCAACATATGTGTTCATGCATATCTGGTGAACATACACTCTCTTTCTTTTCTTTCGTTTCTTTCTTTTCTAATCATACTATTTTTTCCTTGAAATTATGTGAAATGTAATTACTGCTTCTAGAGAAATGAAACCAAAAAAAAAAGATGTTCTGTTTTCCGTAATATTTCCAGTGAAAGGTGAAATGAAACAGTTGGCTGTTTTTTATCAGCTGACAATGGCGATGTTCTCAGCTCTTTTTCTTACATACATAGCAACAATTGGAAGGAAAAAAAGAATCCAACGACACACAAGAACGGGATATTATTCTTTGTTTGCATACCACTTTGTTTTCTTTTCTCTTTTTTATTTCCCTTTATATCTTTATCACTCTTCCTTGATCGCTATATATTAATATGCGAGGATTTTTTTGATCAAATATTTAATCCTATTCATATCGATGATCCATGGCACAATATATTTGATTACATCATTCGCACTTTTTCTATCTCTGTTTTATGATGATGATATGTGAAACGCACACATCATTGACAATCTGGAAGCTGCTTGGTTCGTCTCTATTATTACTTATAAATCTATGAATGAATATGAAAATAATTTCGAAGATTTGTTCTTTATTGATAAATATCTGTAAATGACGTATGCTTGGTTATATTATAGTTAGGTGATGATGAAGATGTCGCGTCTAACTATTAATTATTCATTTATTGTTTATTGTATTTAAAACAATAATGCTGTGTCATAATACATTATGTTGTGGAATATTTAGCTCACAAAAGCGGAAAAGTAAAGTTTACAATTAGTCTCCATTATAATAATTACCATAATTCAATAAAGTACTCATAATAGTTTCTTGTTTAATATGATTAGAATATGCAATCCATTTCCGAACTTCGATGAGCTTTTCTTTCGATTTTTGAGCCTATATCAGACATTCTTCGTTCGTTAGATTATTATCTTACAAATTATTGCATTTGTTCCTCTTAGACTAAAGACTTCTTAATTTACTTTCTTTTTTCTTTTTTAATATAGAATTTTTTCAAAAGAAGTCATTATCTCGTGAACCAATACCATCCACGTCACTGCATCAGCCGGGTGATTATGGCATTGTGAATATTGTCAAAGAATTGCCTGGTACAGCTGGCACTTCTAATGAGAATGATCGTAGCAGTGTACATCTTTATACAAATGGAGGACGTGTCAATAGTGAAGTGACTTCTACTACACATCATATAGTAACGCATGACGAAGCCAACACCAGCAGCAATGGTGGTATTATGGAAACAATTATACAAGATACTTATATTTCACCAGCCAAATTAGATTTTAATAAATTAAATGAAGAACAACAACAAACGATTGATAAAACGCCGGCTGTTTCTCAATTGGCTGAAGGAGCAAGACAAACGATAGATGATATTCGTGAGTATCTTCTGCCTAATTCTTCTACTGTAACAAATAACACAGAATCTAAGCCAGAATCAATAAATAATTCTCCTCAGCCACTTGAAATTTTGAGTTCTCCCTCATTACCACTTGATCAGCCTATTTTGCCTGAAGAAAAACCTGCCACTCGAACACCTAATGTTGCTGAACGTCTATCAAAATCAAAAATAATTCCCGAGCCAGCACGAGCACTGGCTAATGCTCTAAAGCATGCTGTTGTTAAACCACTGAAAAAGACGATGAATAAAATGAAATCCTTCGATTCCACGCCACCCAGTACAACAACAGCCATAGCGCCAGTACCACCCGTTAGTAGCAACGAATTATCATCAACTGATATTCAAAAAGTGCCTCAAGAAACTACTTTAGAGTATACTACTATTCGTAAACAACATCCTGCAATCGTTCATTCATTGTCTCTTACAACTCCACCTGTGGATTACGAGAAAAATTCGGATGTAATAAAAAGTGAATTAATTTCACCGAAAGAACATACATTGTCTGAGCCGTCAACACCTACGACGATTTCTCCCGACTCATCCACATTGTCGCAGTTTCTTCTCCCTAGTTCACCACCGGCTAAGCCTCCTCGTCATAGTGATTCGTCCTCATCGATTGAAACATCCGTGCCTCTATCACCTACAACACCTCCACAGAAACCACCTCGACATTTCATTCCTGACGATAATATAATATTGGATAGTAATAGCCATGATCAATCGTTAATTGATAATCAAAGTTTAATTCAACAAACTGATAGTGTTGTCAAAAAAGTATTGAATATTGTTGATACATTTGGAATGCCACATAATGGTGATAATGATGTCGAATTGTTAAAACAACAGATATCACCACCACCTATTTACATTCAACAACCGTCAAATGACTTAGAACTAAAACCTTCCTTTGATAATCCTGATGTCGAACGTATAATACATACACATGATTTAGAAGAAGAAATTGTATCCAATAAGGAAACACAAATTCAGCCACAGAAGCAAGATATTGTAAACCATAGTGACCAATTTAAATCGCATAAAAGTAATGAAATGGGAGTAAAAAACTTAGTCGATATCGTAAAACATATTCGAGAAGCAATTCGTCGAATAAATCATAGCCAAATGGCCGTCGAATTAAAGACAGAAAATTACAGACCATTAAACCGTTCAAGCATCGTACCACCACTGCATACAACTGATGATGTTCATAGATTTAAAGCTACACCAGGTTACATCCCATTGATGTCCGATAAATCACTTGAACCATTTTCTTCCATACCAGATCAACCAAACGTTCAAACAGTCACTGATTTATCGACAGCTACCTCTCTATTATTAGAACCTCAACAAAATATTGCAACAGAAATTATAGATTCATCGATCGAAGTCGGCTCGTCGCAAATACATTTTCTTCCTGAACAAAATGAATTAGACACCGTTTTAAGTTCACACATTATAAACCCCTTTGTCGGACCCATCTCTAGTCAACAATCTAGTATTAGTGAACTCAACCGATCATTATCTCCTTCCGTTTCATCTCAGTTATCAAGCGCTAAAACTATTATACCCACAACAGTCGATACATACAAACTCTCACCTGTTCAAATTTCCCTGGGTACTTTGCCAGCCGCGACTCCAAACGTTCGCGTCACTGCAACATCAACAGATGTGCCTCGTGTAATTGAGGAAGCAACTGTTGAAACAACATCTATATCATCTTCGATCGATCCAACTAATGAAGCTTTTGTTACACATAAAACCGTCACTGTACATCGTGAACCCTTATCTTCTGCTTCCATAACTGAGACTAATCCTTCAAATGACAAAGATATTATATTTCGATCAACTGAGACAACAACAAACGTTGAAAAAATTAGTGAAGAATTGCAACGAGCATTCGATGAAGAAAATAAAACTGAAACAAGTGTCGATAAAATTCGAGCAATCGATACAATGATAAATAAAGATCGTCAACATTTATTAGAAAAATTATTGAAATTTGACAATACTAATCAGTCCGGTGAAAGTAATGTAACAACCACACTGACATCGTTACCTACACTAACAGATTCTGTTAATGATCAAACTGATTATGCAAGTGAATCCAGTGGAAGGCAAAATACATTTCTTGATTCATTCAAAACCGGTCTCGATATTCAGGAACAATTAACTTCAAAGACAGCCGAAGATGATCAAGCGAAGATAGGAGTATCCGCAAACAGACCATTAATGTTTGTTTCCGTTGAGCCTGGTTTTAATTTATCCAAAGTTTTTTCTCCTCTAACTGATTTGACTAAAACCTCTAATAACAACGATCAAATTGTACAACAACCTTCTATTTCTACTTCATCACCTACCAATTTTTGTCCACCTTCCACTATTCCAAATGAGACACCTTCATCTCTGGTAACAACTACATCTGTTACTGTTATATCTCGCGCCGATCCCATGGTCAATTCTATATCGACAACATCTTCGGCATATGATGATGATTTAACATTGACGGGTGTCAATTCATCACTAATGCCTAACGCATCAGATGGTGGGTCGGATTATCGAAATCGTTCATTACGCAGTAAAGAAAGTAGCATTGATTCGGTTGATACAACTGCTTATGATAATGTACAACAAATTCGAAGTGGAACACCTCGTTCATTAGTCTCCGACTATGATAATTTACACGGTTCATTTGTTAGTTTAAATGAATCACAGACAACTGAAAGTGAACAACAGCAACAACAACAACAAAGTCAACCATCATCATCTAGTCTTTATGAAACAGCATCTTCTCCATCGATTACATTAAAAAGTAACGGATCATCTGAGTCATCTGACTCGACTCAATATGAAAGTTTTGATATACCTACGACAACGGCATCATCATTGTCAAACGTGTATCAATCAGCTCTTAGTACATTGAATAGTTCATCAAGTGATTTTAGTGATCATACAGCAACACCGGAAATGCGTCGACTCTCATCTGAAATAAGTGATGATGATGAAGATTTTGTTGAAAATGCAGATTTAGAGACACCAACACCAAGTTTTAAAACAAATATTAATCAATTTAAAATATTTAATTCTGAATATAATCCTAGCATTACAACATTATCGACAAATATTGTCGAAGGTAGAACATTCTTATACATAATCCGTCCACAGGTTGCCGTGATTCAATATAAAAATAAAGATTCGTGCTTGGTGTGAATATAAAGCATGATCTTGCAAGAGAGATCTTTTATTTTTATTTTTCATAACTATTATTCTATTTTTATTCAAATTTATTTATGCATTTTGAAATATTCGTTACATTCCCGCTCGAAAAAACCTAAACAGTGACAATATAATCAATGCATGTATTCAGAACAATGTTTCACTATTCGCAGCATGAAATTATTTTCTTTTACATTTTTCTATTTTACAGATATGTGTTCGCGTATTCTTTTTTAAACACGAACTATACTCTTAAAATGGCCATTTGTCAGGGAACAACATAATTGCTTTATTTTTTTTAACCTCGTGAAACGATTTATGCGCATGCGGCCACTATTATTATCGCTTTTTTCTTCTAAAAATGTTTACTTTTTTATCATCGTACAAATTAACAATTATCGAATGCCTTCTTTAGCACCACCAATTATTGAAATAACAGAAGATAATAATGAGCCGATCGATGAAGATGATATGTCATTTTTAACTGACGTACTTGAACAATATAAAAAAACAAAAGGTATTCATATAGAACAAGAAAAAAAAAGTATTTATAAAATGCTCGTTTGGATTTGGCATAAACAAATGAAAAAAAAACAACAACAAACTAGAGAGTTTGGCTTGTGCACGTCTGTGATTGATTTATTGTTTTTCTTTTTCTACATCTGATTGTTTTTTCTATTTACAATTAAATGAACTCGTTTTTTACGCATGTGCTATTTTCTCTATCTAAAACTCATATTAAAAATTTTGTGTTAAATGTAGATAATTTTTACAATTCATTGATAATTGATTAATTATTTTTTCTTTTTTTTCTCCATTTAGATAATATGGATACAAGCACAAAACCAAGTGGTAAGTTCGATTTGCATGCTTTTCAAATGTGTTAGAACCGGAAAAAAATCTTGTTGTCATCTTTTTTTTTTAAAATACTTATGAAAATACGAGAAGAAAGATGATCTTGTTGCATGCATCCATATACACATACACACACATACATACATACATGAACTTTAAAAATTCATTTTTAAATTTAGCTGAAACATAAACGTAAGAAAATTTGAATGAAAAACAAAAAAGATATATATTCATGTTTATATAGCATGTGGCATCGTTTCATTTATTCATTTATCTATTTATTTATATAAATGATTGCCACGCATGCATTAGAGCAGTAACAGCATTTTCCAATTAGTTTTCTGTTTTTCGTTTTTCTTCCATCATTATGTGTGTGCGTTCAAATTTGAGTGAAAATAGATACAAAACAAAAATAGTTGAGATTTCAATCTGAACATTTGTAAGAAAATAGTATAGATTGTTAATTTCATATTTAAGAAGAACGTGTGTGTGATACGGTTTGATGTTCGATTCTTTTTTTGTTATCAAAAATATTTTGGATACAAAAAGAAATGAGAAAAAAAAAGAAGAACTTCTATACACATTGGTATCAGTTTGAACGATTGTTTATTTACGATATTCCATTATGAAGAAAAGACTTTTGATTTGTTTGTCGTATTTGCTTTTTCTGTTGTTATTCTACATATGGACTTACTTGATGTCATAGTTAGATTATTTTCTGACTGGAAGGTTAGATATATCCAATATCCTTGTCAATACAAAAATATTTTGCTCAATCATCCATATTTTTCGTTAGAAAATGTTGATAATGGCTATGTTTCAAACTAATTTTATACTCACATTTGATAGGAGATATAAAGATTGTATTTTATACTCTAATCACTGAGAAATAATTGAGTAGTAGAATAGAAAATGTGCAATATTATTGAGTATTCAATATTTTATACATGATACGTATGTAGTCGGCTTTTTGTATGTAAATCGATATTGCTTAAATAATAAATTATGATTGAAAATTTTATTCTTTCGTCCTTTATCGGTGATAATATAGATATTTGATAAAAGAGATAAAGGATCTGTTATTTTCATCCTTATCTTATATTTTGCATGCATATAGCTAAATAACAGTTAAATATTTTATGTAAATCTGTATATTGCAAAGCCCATCGACTTTGTAAACAATAGAAAAAGTGTAAACTATTAAAGAGTAATGAAATACGCGCAATTTTCTTACGTTTCATTTGCACACTTCGATGTTGTTAATTAATTGTGCTTATAGGCCACTTCGAAATAAGATTAACATGACATTCGAAAAGGAATTAAAAAGTACAAATTAACTATCCACATTATTTTCTGATTAAATTATTGTGGATTTTTTGCTTCAGATCGTTGTGTCCATTTGCTATAATTACATGTGTTCTAAATATTTGTGCACTACTTTATTGTCTATATATTTAGCATAAATTTCTGATTGTAACATTCATCAACCGTATCACGCACACACACACACATACATTGCTCGACTAGATCACTTAAACGAATCGTTTTTGAGTCATTTTACTATATAAGATAAAAATTGATCGAATATTTCTCAATTGAGACCTTTGAAATGGTTTATGAATTAGTTGTGTTTTTTTTTCTCCTGGAGTATACATATGCACAACATTTATGCATAATCATTGATTTTTATTTTTGTCTTTTTCTATTGTTTACAGAAGTACGAAATACTGCCGTCGGAGAAGAGCAATCAGCTTCTATCTTAACTTCATTTTCTCCTTTGACTTCTATTTCTGTTCGTACTATTCCAACTAAAATAGAATCACTTGATAAAAAATTAGATGGTACTTCGCCATCAGTCACATTACCGAATATTTTACCTATTCAACCGACAACAGGTATAACTAAAACATCAGTATCATTTCAACGTTTATCAAAATATAGTAGGCCAGCTGATGAAGTAGAACAGGCTTCTCCAGCTGTAAATACAAATTTTTCTTCTATCTCAACTATTCCATCATACTCTACATCATCTATTGGAACACGTGAAATACGTTCGCAGTTGATGGAAACCTCATCTGAATTATTAAAAAAGATGTCAAAAACTGCACCATCTACCGTTAGTAGTCAACATCAACAGCCTGTATCGAGTACAGCTGATCACATACAATCAAATTGGTTAGAGGATCGTCGCGCCTATCAAAATGAAGAACAACAACAAATTTCACCTAAAACTCGTCCAGCCCGAATGTCACCACCAACAAAACTCTCATTTGAACAAAATATAACAAATTTAGAAAAAGAATCACCACTATTGCAATCGGAATTATTGACAGCCGAACATGAACTATCAGCATTAAAATCTCGTCTAGCTGTGACCGAAGGAATAACCGCTGTTACATCAACAATATTAGAATCGTTGAAAGAACATTTTGAATTACCTACAAGACAAGTGGAACAAATTGATGCTGCTCTTATAAGCACAAGAGAAAATGTTGACATGACATCTGGTAGAAATGTTTGTGGCGATCTAAGTAGTGAACCAACACCTAAAATTCCATCATTCAATAAAAGTTTAGTCAGTGGTGTTAGTTCACATTCCATTCCAGATGCAAAACCGGCATTTACTGATCAAGCAACATCTCCTATTCAAGAATTTAATATTAGTAGTTCACCATTGATATCAATAATTACACCATTCACTGTTAGTTCACAAACTTCACCTATGATTGAAAACGTTTCGTTGTTACCCTCACTGACGAACGAATTAACAGGCGAACCTGTTGAAATTCATTATGATGCAATCACTAATCAGCAAACATCGTTTCTTGTCAAAACACGAAATTCATTTTGGATTGCCAATCATATTCCAACACACGAAGCTCAAAATCGTTTACAAACAATGTCAAGTCCAGTGATGAAACGTGCCACGGTGAAATTACCCGAATCTATGGATCAATTTCTGTCAGATTCAGACGTTGAATTCGTTCCTCAAGTACAACAGAAATTGCAACAACAAGTCATCGATGACGTATCAATGAAACAATTTTCAGATTTTAACAGTGAAACACATTGGTCAATCGAATCAATTGCTGGCTCAGAAAAATTTAGTGATCGATCAGTTCATGATATCAAAGAATTTGCATCACCCACGAAAGACGGAGATAAAATTATTTGTGAATGTAATCAGCCGTTAACATCAGAATCATTTGAACATATACGTTCACCATTAACCGAACAAAATATAAATATATTCAATCGAGGTTCAATTGAAAAAAAACAATTGTATGATGATGATACTTGGTCAACAGAAGTTTTAGCACCATCAGTGGTGGCTGCATCCGAGCAAGAATTATTAACAATTCAAGAAAACGAACATTTGTCATCAAGAACATCATCTCCACTTTCTGATTTAGAACAGCAAGTACCAGAAGAGAGTTTTCATGAGGACAAACAATATCAACCTACACAAGTCGTAGACGAAACAACGGTTTTGTCTGAAGATAAATTAATTCAGCAAGATTCTCTTACACAATTATATGAAAATATTTCAGCATCTATTACAGAAAAAGTTCTTTCCACTGTTACTCAGAAACAACAAGAAACGCCGACAACTATTATTCAATCGGAGCCCAATAGTCAGTCTCCTCCGTTAGCTATAACACCAGACAGGGAAACAAGTTATGATACTAAAGAACAATTATCGGAAATGATGAAAATTCGTTCGGCACCATCTGAAAATCGACAACAATTAGAAGAATTAGAAGTAAAAGTAGAAGAGTTATATAGTATCTTGGATCATATGTTGCACCAAAAAGACAAAGAAATATCGACGGAAATGAATGAATTTGAATTGAAAGTTGATGAATTAACAGTTATTATGAACGATATTGATATGAAAAAACAAGATGAAGATCGTATTGAACTAGAAATTGATGAATTACATAAAATTATACTATGTAAGTACTTTTTTTGGCTTTAATTTACGATAGATTAGAAAAATATTGAAATAGCGATTCATAAAGTTCGAACATTATCAGATACTTTCAAGCCTTCTTTGCAGTTCTTGCCTGTGCTTTTTTATACAGACCTTGAGAGTTTGTGAGATTTGACAAAATCAGAAAAATGGATATTTTATCGCTGTTAATGGAACACCTTTCTAAAATACTGTGGAGCCGTTGTATAAATAGCTTCCTCACATAATATTTGTATTTGTATATTTTAGCTATACATGCTAAAAATCAAATTAATTTTGATATATTGCCAAATGCTGAACAAGACTACGAATTGGCCACTCAACAACTTGTTCAAGAACGACGGCGTTCATTAGAGCTGCTGGAAGAAAATGTTAATGAACTACGGCAAATTATACATGATATATCCACAATTAGTTCACGCGAACGTCCACATAGTCTCGCATTAACAACAGATAATCAAGTAACTTTACAACCACACAAGGTAACAACACCTGACGAAGAAATTCCAGCAAAAAATTTAATTGAGGAATTTGAAGATAAAACAGAATCAGTTCAAAATGTTGATTACGAAAAAGAGTGGACACCTGAACAAATGGCAGAATACTTTCGTTGCACACCAGATGGTAAACGTTTATCAAGCCCAACACTAAAATCAGAAACTTTACAAATGACATCTACTGAGAATACACCACAATCCGCAGGAACAATCAACGATACCAATCAAAAACCGTATTCTTTAAATAATTTGGCACAGATAATTTACGAAATGCGTGAACCACAACATGCTACACAGCAGTTGATTGCGGAAGACCCAATAGTTTCAACCGACGTTTTCTATGAAGGCGATCGATCCTTTCATCCTGAGGAGAAAGTAACCACACATCTTGTACCGGAAAGTCCTCGTGTCTCAAGTGATGTTTTTTATGAAGGAGATCGAAGTCATAGTTTGTTTGAAAATACAGAGAATTTAAAAAGTATCGTTCAAAATATAATTGAGATTGGTGAACAGCAAAAAAATAGTACTGCATATCTGATTCCCGAGGAACCAGTAATCAACCGCGACGTATTCTATGAAGGAAGTAAACAGCAAAATTTGTACGAAACTGATATTGATAATTTGAATACAATTGTTGATCAGATGGCACATAACGTAAAACTGGAGCCTGAAGAACCCCGTATCACAGCAAATATCTTTTATGAAGGCGATACAAAACGGTCATTATATCATGAAGATAACGAGCAGTCAACTAATGGTGGCTTGTATCAAATTATAAGTGATATTCACAACCGTCCATTAGAATCAGATAATGAAGAGTTACTTGTTGAATCATTTCTAACAACTGAAATTCCAGCTGTCAGAGGGAACGGATTGTACGAGATAATCCATGAAATTGAAAATTTCCCATTAAGTTCAAACACGACAATGAAAGAATTACCTGAAGATGATCGGCAACAATTATCCCCACATACCATCGATTTTATGAATACAATAAAAGAAGCTGAACAACATTCCACACACGATGAAACTGCTCACACTTCTGAAAAAGAATACATATTACCATTCAGTCAAGAACCATCCATAGTGATTCATCGAACGATTTTAACCCGAAACGATACTCTATATGAACCGGAAAAAATATCAGTGGACTCTGAACAGACTTCGCCTGTAACTGAAATAGAATCACAAAAGAATGAAGTACTTATTTTTAACAATGAATCTACACCACGCAGTGAAGACATCGACAATAGAGAAACCGTTCAATCTGATTGGACAATCTCACAAGATCAACATCAAGAAATTTATGGTGAACAACACCCATCAGAAAGAAAATTCATTTCGGAACTGACTGCGCACGAAAACGTGGTACCAGAACATACCCTCGATGTTTCAACGCATATTGTAAAAGATATTCAAGAACAACCAGTGATGACCTCAAATGATGAATCTATTTCTTCATATGCTGACAAAACAAAACAACTCTCTCCTACTCAAGTAATACCAGAGTTCGGCGAAAGTATCGAAGAACTGGTAAAAATAGCTAGTAGTCTGAGAAATTTTCAAAAACCCATTTCACCATATTTAAATGAAGATAAAAATCAAGAGAATGAGATATCATATCAAATTCCATCGTATAAAACCGATGAGTATCTTTCATCTGATGAGGAAATTAATGTTTTGAAACGTCCAGACGAATGGACACATTCATCATTTCAAAAACAAGAGATTTATGGTGACAAGTACCGTCCAGAAAAATCTGTGGGGGAAGATCAGATTGATTATGCTATGGAGAGTCCTGAAGTGGAAGTACGTTTAATGCAGGAAATATCACCATCATTATCGGGGCTTGAAAGCATTATCCGTGATATATCAAATGACAATTTTGCTAATGATGAAAATCAAGAGCTACCTTTTGTTTCTCGTATTCAACGGGCATCTATAATAAGTCGCACGATACAATCAAATGGACGATATTCAGATGAAACTGGGGACGATTGGAAAAGTAGTCAGATGTCAGACGATAATCAGTTATATACAACAGATGATGAATTTAGACCAACTCATTTGGAAATTACCACCTCTCCAATACACGAAAACCAACCAATACCATTTCAAACTGATTTTCCAGTATTATCTGATGAGTCTATGCAACAGTTGAGTACAGAGCGGCAAGAAGAATCACAACGTGCGAACGAAAGTTTCGATCGATTAGAGAAAGAATCAAGTCATAAAGATGATGGTTTGCGAAGAGATCAAATAAATGATCACGAACGGTTGCTAATTCAAATATCGACTGATATTGTTAATAGAATATTGGAAAATGCATTAAACGACGACATTGAACAAGACAGATCAATAGATCCTCTTGCATCACCAATAATCGAGACTGTTTCTAGTCCTTTACTTGAACAAACCAGTGAAACAGCACTATTATCATCTGACATTGAACAAAATATTCAAAATGTGTCAACAGTAACGTCAGATATTCCAATAAATGAAAATACGTCAGAAAATCAGCCTATTTTACAACAAGTCGGCAGTCTTATAGGCGATTTAGCTCAGGGATTTACATCAATGTTTTCGACGAGAGATGACGAAAATTTACCAGAACCAACGATATTAAATTACAAAATGCAACATGACTATAATCTTGGGGAGGAGTTACGACCGCAACAACGCATAGATGAAATGACAGATGAACAAGATAGTTTAAATGATAGTGGCAAATATACAACAACAAGTGCTGATGCCATCCCGTTAGCCTCGTCGCTTGATAGTATAGGTCCCACAAATGAAGAAGAACAACAAATAACTGATTGGAATTCATTGGTTAAAGGCGAATCTAAACAACAAGAGAAACAAACGCGTGATATTCCAGAAGTTATCATATCTAAAGTCAGTGTGAGTAGTGAACAAGAAGACGAGCTCAAAGACGATGAACCTTATATCTCATCAAACTCTGTTCAGGAATTAGGAGACTTGACAAATAACTTGCAAGAATTAGAAGAAAAACTTGATCAGGAAAATAGCCAAGAACAAGAGACGTTTTTATCGTCTATTGAGAGTGAAGATGATGAAGGTAAAAATTTAATACCACAGCCCGCGGATGAACCCTATTTGATCGTGTCCGACGTGGTGACTTCAAAAAGTACAGAAGAACTTAGTGATCTTGCATCCGAATTAAAAAATTTCGAAGAACAAATTAATGACATCGTAGTTCACGATGAAGAGAATGATGATTTTTCATCTGAAGAAGACGAAATTCACCATTATGATTTACAAATACCAGAAAGTTTAATAAGCACGAAATCTACCGAGGAATTGAGTAATCTTGTTGATGAATTACATAAGGTAGAAGAACAATTAGAAAATAAATTAGAACAATCTACATTTTTACAAGATGAATCTGATCAGTTACAAACGTCACGATCGTCTACTGAATTGACCAATGTTGCACATCAATTCGAAGGAAAATTAAATTATGAACAATTGTCACATGATATTATAGAAAAACGACGTGATAGTAAATCAATATCTGATCAAGATTACCATCGAATGGAACGACGTCCGTCCAGCCCACCAACTACACCGACATTAAGACAACAGTTTCTTGAAGAATCTATTCGATCAATGAACGATGTTGATGAAGCAAAAGAACAATTATCAACGATTTTAGCTGGTCAGAATGAAAATATTGACGAAGAACATTATATTTTACAAACAATGATTGAAAACATTATTAAACAAGCACAAGATACAATTAAAAACGAAGAAGAAGAATTAAATTTAATTCAGTCAAATAGAGTTATTGATAATAATACTGTCAAATCACCGATTACGATTTTCGAACCTAGTGATCGTCGACGGCCTTATGTTCAATCTTCAGCAACATCGATAAGTGATGAATTATCCACTGAAGACAATACAGGTGATAAACAGGGCGAACTTGCTGCTCAACTTGATTATTTAAGACGTATGTCTCGATATGAAACACTATTTGATGAAAGTCAGCGACAGCTATTTCTACAACAACAGCAACAAAACACAGATGACAATACTGAACAACAAACTAAATTTAGTGATTATTTAACAGCTGTGCGTGAAGAAGAAATAGAAACGAATCGTATAGAGGACAAGCATGAAAAAGATGAAGAAACAGACAGTGACAATGATCTCGAAGAACAGAATAAACGAAAAAAAAAGAAAAGGCCTCTATATAACGATAAACCATTTTCTGAGCGTAAAGATACAGATAAACATGATGATAGTGGAGATGATGATAATAACAAAACTGATGATCAAACTTTTCAAAGTGATCAAGTAACAAGTACCGTTCAAACAAGTGAACAACAGCAGCAGCCATCAGAACAACAACAAGGCTCGTCAAATACAACACAAGTTGATAATGATCACCAAATGCAAATTTCCCAGGATTCCATTGAGGACTACAATCAAATACTGTCTAGAACAAAAGAACAATTCGTTTATGGATATCAAACATTGAGTAAAGATGATCAAAATCAAATGGAAATTAGTCATGATTCCATTAACCTATCATTAAGCGATAATGGTGACATTAGCAATACAGAAACACAACAAACACCAAGTAATGATGAAAATTTTACCAGTTACAACTTTGAACATATTGAAAAAAAGCCAGCAGACATGAAAACTTCAACAGATTCACTTGAGAATGAATTTGATAGAAAATTAGATAGCGAAATTAAATTTTCATTTAGTTCACCATTAAATAGTAACAGAGACGATGAATTTGATGATAATGTGTCTTTCTCACCAATTCAAGATGATGTTCAAATAGAAATTGATAACTTGTCAAACCGTATTAGTCCATTAAGTAATAATGAATATGATTTATTAAGACGTGAAACAGATGAACCCACTCCAAGTAAAATGTCCGGTTATCGATCCAATTATTTTCGACCAGATTCCGTTACGTCACACGAAAATGATAGACATTCAACACCACAAGAATTGTTAGAGAATGATCAACGAATACCAGTTGAAATTCGACGCTATTCAATTGGAAATGAGCAAAGTTTTGATGAAGCAGTCGATAATCTAATTACAACATATGATCAATCAATAACTGCTACTAATTTGATAAGTAAAATTGCTGATAAACCGTTTCGTTCCGACTATGAAGTTAGAATAGAAGAAAAGCCAACAATTTATCGAATGATTCAACGAGAAATTGAAACAGAACAATTACCGGTAATTCATGCTAGAAGAACGGCAAGCGAAAATAGTTTGTACAGTACGTCAAGTTCATCAGCGCCAATGAACGATAGTCATTCGTTGTCAATTTCGTGTTTAACATCGAACAGTTATATCAGTGATAATGAAATAAATCGATCATTAAATGAAGAGAAAAAAAATGACAAAGTTGCTACGGATACACAAAGTTCAGGATCGATTAATATTTTAAAATGGCCTATTAAATCATCATTAATTGATAATGATGATTTGACACCTGTCAATAATCCAAATATCACATATTCGTTGTTAAAAGACGAAGAGTCTCTAAATTTTGCGCCAGGTTTATACGGAATTTCTATAGACGAACAGAAAACTGAAGATGATAATCAACAAGTTGATAGACAACGATTCGAAAATATTATTGAACAAGAAAAATCGAGTACTATTTCTAGCATTCCGTTGGTTCATTCGCCAGTTGAAAATGCAGAAATAAAACAGATTTCATCATCAAGTGATATATTAGATCAGTCTTCAAGACCGAGAAATCTATTTATTTCGTCTGACAATTATTATAGTCCGTACGTTACTGTTGAAAATAAGGTTTTTGAAAATCCAGAGAGATCTTCGCCTGTTCAAGAACAAACAGCCGTAATTACTTCTTGGACACCACCAATATACGATGAGCCTATAAACGATATTCATCATGAAAGTATTTATAGGACAACAACAGAAGCGTTTGATACCAATAATAATAGTGGAACTGGTGGTTTCTTTGATCGTTTTAAAGCACTAGTTGTCAAACCCGTTGAATTGTTGGAAAGTGCAATGGAAAAACGACGAAGTCGTACATCATTAAATAGTGAACAAGATCGTTCACGAAAAAATACACCATCACCATCCGGTTCACTAGCAAGTCGCTCTCCGTCAGCTATTTCTCTCACATCATCTGGCAAACGTACACCGGATGATGAATTGGAACGAGATGAACGATTAAAAACTTTATCATTATTCAAAACTCAAAATATTATTCAACATTTTCCGTCTGCTGATGATTTACACCATGATCAAAAAACAAAACTTGTTCGATCACCAGAAATTTATCACATGGACAATGTTCAGACACATTTATCATCGACTGATCGTCATCATATGTCTGTCACACAATCCGAATCGAATATTGACGATACAACAACTTTCTCGGATATTCATGAATTAACTACCTTGTCTAAAGAAAATTCATTAGAATCCATTTTACATGATGCTGTTGAAAAGGAATCATCACCGGAGACCTTAGATATTAATTTTAGTGATGCTTATGAGCCAACAAGTAGTATTATGCGTCCTTTGGCACTATCTGTACCTGGGCAGGCGCTTGTTGCTGCTACGGTTAGCGAAGAAACAATCATGAATGAAGATGAATTTGAACAATTGACAACACAATATGTTAACAATGTGTTAAATGAAGTTGTATTCCAGTTAATCTCTGAACAAACAGGAATAACTTATGAGCGAACTTTGTCATCGACTCCTTCGTCTCCTAGTACATCTGGGGAAGAAACACCCTTAAATATTAAACAAAGCGAAGAAAGTGTTGACAACGGGGAGCCAAGTGGTGCGCAAGGAGGATATTCAATGACAACAGATAGCAGCAGTTTTTCAGTTCAATACAGTGCAGATCAATCACACGAAAGCGGATCAGATGAACCTTCTTTTCCTGAAAATTTTAAACAATCAATTAGAACACTGCGTCGAGCACATACAGATTCCGACGGTTTTCAAACACTCGAATCACAAAAAGAGAAAACTGACCTTGAACACCTCTTCAATCGTCATACAATTGATGATAGAACAGGTGTTTTTGTTCGACGTTCGAGTTTACCACAAACGCATTCATCAGAAAATACAAAATATTTAAATCAAATGTTAGTAGATCAAAATTTAGTTGATGATATGAATTTCTTAACACCAAATCAAACAGAAGATGGAACAGCCAGTAGTGAGTACGCCACGGCAGCAGAGTCAATGAAATCGAGTACAAGCGTGAATAAGAGGAATTCATCGTCAGATGTTTCTAGTTATGGTGAAACCAAAGAACGTATGGAACAATATTTCTTAAAAATTTCAAAAAATGACGATATAATACGTTCTGATTCTAGCCGAAGTGGTTATGTTACTGCTGATGAAACACGTTCAGATTATTCGTCAAAAATGATGTCAGATGAAAATCAAGAATACGGTACTGATGATGGTCTTGTTCATTTAAATTATCGATCCGACGATGCTGAACTAGATAATAGACTTTTACAGTCAAAAACTCTTACGGCAGATTCATCATTTCAATCTGGTTTAGATTTGGACGATGATCCTAAAAGAAGAATATCAGATGAAGAGGAAGCAAGCCATCTGAAATATGAGGGTGAAGGAGAAGAGAGCAGTACCAGTTTAACCGGTAGCGATCGAAAGACGCTAGGAAATACGAGTGGAAATGAAATTCGTTCATCCTTAGCACTCGAAAGGCGTCCGTATGAACTACCAAAGAGTGTTTCGTTTAAATTAGATTCGAGTGAACAGCAATCACCTGTACAACATCGATCACCACGTCCATCAACCGTCATTAAACGTCAAGAAAGTCTTGAATCACCAACGACGGAAAAAAATATAATTAAATCGTTACAAGACTTTATCGTTTCCAAAAATTTAGAAGAATTAGGACAACGTCTTGAACTTGTCGATAAACCACCACAAAGCTTTAGTGACTATTCTTCACCTGATATCCATTTATCTCCCCAATTGCCACGAGAAAAATCAAAAACTATAAGTAGTTCAGATAATGAACAAAATGCTAGTGTCGTTCAAGATGATGCAAAAGTACCGATAACAAAACCGGTGTACTCTGACTATGAAGCTTATGAAGCTGGGAGTGAGAGTGACCGAGATGATAAAGAGAAACGACCATCCATAAAATCCACAGAGTTTTGGTTAAATATCGAAAAAAGTGAACCCATTCTTGAACAATCTGATAAACCGTTAATATCACCATCGGGAGCAATGGTTACCTCATCATGTACAAGTGAATCGTCAGAAAGTTGCCACCAGGTAGAAGCCACGTACGATACAGATACCGGTCATATAACATCATTTTCGATTGATGATCAAGGTCAAACAAAAGTAGTGGAAAAAAGTTTATTAGGACTAAATGAAGATGAAAATATGATACAAGAAGACTCGGAACAAAACGATGAAAATCAGTTGAGTTCTCTTATACGTGAAGAATTATCGCGTGTTAAAACAGACGTTCACACAGAATCCTCGTCAATTGTAGATAAAATAAAACTAAAACTAGAACGATCGATTGATCGTCTTGTTAAAAAGACGTTAGCGGGCGAAGAAAACACACGGAAATCAGATATCATATCTCCATTTACCGATCGTAGTCTCGAGACATTTGAAGGAGATAAAGTAGAGGAACAACAGCAGTTAAAACACGCTCACAGCGAACAATATATCCAAGTTTCATCTGACGAATTTGATTATAATACATTACAAAGATTTAGTTCAGATTCTTGTATTATTATACGTGTTCCAGAGCAATATACACCTAGTACAGCATTATTACTCGACGATATAAAACAAACAAGAGCTGATTTAAAAAATAATCATTCGGATGTATCTCAATCGCTTTCGGATGATGATGAAGTTACTCTAGCAAAAGATTTGATGCAATCCAGTGTCATTTATCGACCGAATACAGGCAACGATAATGGAGAACAGGATGATAGTAAGCAAGAGTCAGCATTTCGTATTTATGAAAAACCCGAAGAAACCGACCCATTTTTAGTAAAGAATAGTAGTCCACTAATGGCTGAAAAGGGAAAATTACAAGTAATGGAAGAAAGATCATTGAGTATTTCGCCAATATCACGTGATACACCTAGAAGTATTGATAGCAGTATGGAATTAGGTGAACGAGATATGACTGACATGAGCGATGAATTTGTTTTGGTTAAACGTTTATCAGTCGAGTCGATGAGCACTGATGACTTATCTCCAGCTGCTAGTCCGCCGCTAAAATCTTCTGCTGCTCAAAAAAACGCGCGATCCATCTCACCATCGTCATCGTCCCTGTCAGACAAACACGAAGATTCGCCAGACCTATTAGAAATTTTAAAACATGAATACGACTATCCTCCACTTGATACTGGTTTTGATATTAGACAAGCGACAGTTTTAGAAACGGTTTATGAAAGCCCAGAATTAAAAAATGAAGATGCGACAACTCATAGTTCAACGACAAGTGACTCTCGTAGAAAAACAAGCTCAACCAGTGAAAATAGTGCACTTATTGTTACCGTTGAAGATGTGGTGGCTAATGATCAACAAGTACAATACCGTCATAAACCAATTTCGAGTAATCCAACGGCAAGTTCTTCCTATGAAGAATTAAAACGATTAACCATACCATCAACAGTTTCAGCTACTGACCGTCATTCTACGCCAAGTACAGTCAATACCGACGATTCTCTGCTGGAATTCGAACGTTTAGAAATGGAAATGGCAAAATCAGGCACAGCATCACCCGCTAATTATCACAGTTTACATACAGATCGAGTTGTACCCACTGTTCCATCTCAACAAGTTGCCAATGTTGCACGTGAGATAAGAAATTCTGTTGAGTCTCTAATAACACCAATTGACAACATTCAATTAGAGGCGGAAAAAGTGGCATCCTACATTCAACGACATCAATCTCTCTTTTCAACATCAAACTATTCCGGATTAGATGATGACAGTTCAAGTAATATTCAATTTCAACGTTCATTATCCAATGATTTGCCACCTTTGTACATTATAAAACAAAATAATAAATATTTTCAATCTGTGGATGATGATGTCAAAAATTTAATTGACGATATTTTATTTAAAACCGAACAAATTCATTTACAACGAACAAAACCGACTGAAATTGAAAATAGCGACTTAACAGCATCCTATAGTGAATCGGGACCATCATCATGTACAGATCCAACAGTAATTGTGAATATAACATCGTCAAAACGAAATTCGGACAATGAATTAACATTGAGCGATGAAGAAAATCAAACTGATTGGGAGCATGAGAGTGAATACGTTAAAGTTGGTTATGATGATTTAGAACAGCCATTGAAGTCGAACAATAAACATTCTAAAACAAACGATTCGATACATTTAATTGATAGTCTTGTCAGTTCGGTCATTGATGATGATTTGGATAATGAATTTGACAAAAAAAAAAAAGAAAAATTAAATACTGATGAAACATTTTCAGGTGATTTATCACCATCTTGGTCTCTCAGCGAACAATCTGTTGATCGTGAAATAAAAACAAGTTTTACTGGTATTGATGAAGACAGTTATGCATTTTTAATGAGCACTAGTCAAACGTCATCTCAACACAATAATGCTACGCATAATCCAACAATGATAACATCCACAAGTTCAACATCTTTTCCACGAATGATTATTGAACAGAGTTCACCGGATATTATTCATACATCACTGAGAGACGCTGGAGAACATTTACAAGTGTCCGGTAGAGCATTTGCTGATGATAGCCAAACCAGTTCAATGACTACGTCCTCTTCAATGTCTGAACACGGGGAAGATATAAACGCTAAGTCTTCATCATCGCAAATACGCGAAAAAAAAAAACGTCGACGAAGTAATAATAAACAGTCGAATACTACAAACTGTAACTCATCATCGACCGAAAGTGATCATGATTCGGGCACAACACCCGTACTAATTTCTCCAGCAATTGAACAACCACCACAATTACCTGCTGAATCAGAAATAATTGATTCAACTCCCCATATTTCTAGTCAATTCCCTCAAGATGAAGATCGAGTATTTTTTGATACAGATGAATTAGCAACAAAACAAAAAAAGCAAACTTTATCTTCAAAGACGTCGCCACCATCCTCTCATCGTCGCTCATCCGTACCATCAGATCAAATTTCTACCACACGCACAGCATCTTCATCTTCATCCTCTTCATTTTCTTCATCAAATCAAACTGTGATACAGCATGTATTACCTGCTGAAATTCATTTACCTAGCTTCAAGCGTACTAACGAACCGTCACATTCATCATCCATTCGTTCTGCCGATCATTTACCATTCATTCCACCATTTGTTCAATCTCATCCGCCCACCTCGACGTCAAGTCATACTGTTGTACATAAAAATGACCGGTTAATAATGACTGACATTTCACCTAACACCATCACTACCACTACAATTAATACGACTAGTACAATAAAAACATTTACAACCTCGTCTTTTATTACTGTTTCATCTCCCTCATTACTTTTATCATCATCAGCAGCTATTGAGAATAATAATTTTAATAAAAAATCTAATAAAACTGTTTCTCTCGAGAGTGAACTAGGTACTCATTATCAAAAATCTCACTCTCATCCCGGTACAATTACAGGAGGATTTTCTTTATCTCCTAATAATACAAAAGAAGGAATAGATAATACGAACAGAAATCAACAACATTCTAATTCTAATCTATTGTCTTATCGTCATTCTTCTTCTGCTTCTCCGACTGGTTCAACGTCGGGTCATTCACATCATTCCGACGATTGCTATTGTGGCAGTGCTACATCATCAAAATTACAAAGTGGTAAATAGAATAAAAACACTAGATGTATTATTGTCTCATCACATATTATTTATCATTTTCTTGTTTGTATAAACACAATCCATTCTACGTGAAATAAAGTTAAGGGAACGCTTTAGAAAATATTTGCGAGAAATTTTTCGAAGAATGGATATTTATATATAAATTAATATTGTATTAGTGCAAAAAAGTATATAGATGTTGTATTTCTTTTGTTGATAATAATAATTACACACAGTTGCTTTCTTTTTCTAACTGCTACGTGAACTAAAAAAAAACATAACGCTTTTATACAAATAGAAGTCATTCTTTTGTACTTGTGCGTCTACGATCAGCATCTTTAAAGAGAAATTTTTGAGGATTAATTGTCCTTGGGTTTATTATTCAAATGCTTCATTTTTAATATATTTTACTAAACGAGAATTAGGACAGCTAAAACTATTACACACGCTTAATATTATTTCTTAATATTGCACTAGAGAATATCACGTTATTATTATTATTTTTTATTTGTTTTATGCATCACAACAACGATATATATATATATATATATCTGCTTTATTTATCGTATATGTTGTGAATATTATAGTTGATTTGTATTGTCTGCATTCTTTATCTGACGCTTTTAATATACTGTTGTGTTTGTTGTGAATTCTGTTCTTTTTTTTCTTTTAATTTCGATGATAACGCATTTCATCGAATAAAATCTCTGAGAAAACTATCGTCTTACTATTTGCGTTTTTCTATTTCTAGGAGAACAATCTTATGATGAGTCGAAATTGTAAGTAATAATTCTTATTGTATCAAAATATTAAATGAGAGAGTTGTTTAGACTGATTATAAAGAGGATCTAGAAAGAGCGGAAACAACATTTCTGCTTCTTCAAAAGTGATAGTTAAATTTACCTTTGTTTTATTTTAGCATACAAGACGAGCAGTAAATGAATTAATAGTTATTATTATTTAACTAATTTCTTTATAAAAAGATCAAACTAGTTCTCATTCAACTACAATTATTGTTATACTAAATTATGTTGAATAATATAGTGTACATATATGAACTACAAATTCTCAACAATCATCAACCGTAGACTTGGAAATAGATATTTATACATCTTTTCTTTTCTGTTTTATGAGATTTAGTTTTTTTTCCCTCGCATTGTGAAGAATTCTTTCATAAACAAAAAGTATGATCTCATTATTAAAAGAAGAAAATTGTCGTTTTTTTCTTTTTTTTTCTGTCTCAATACGAAGTTCGCAATTGACTTCATTTATAACCAGAAATCCAAGCTGACGTGTTGTTTTTCTTTTGTTCCCGTCATTGTTGTATGCAAAACTCAAAAATCTGATCTTGTTTTGTTGCTTTTGTATTCTTTTTTTGTTGTTGCTGTTGTACCTGCATGTGTTTGCGAAACGCATTTTACATTTTTTTGTTTTGTTGGTGTTTCTCTATATTTTTTTTTGCTAGCTTATTGTATAATGAGCAGAGAGGGTTCTTTCTGTGACTCATCGATTTTTTTTTGCGTACGTAGTTTTTTCTTGTTAGGAAACTTGTCTTTTTTTTTCTCTCTGTAAAACGCATGATTATGATCGTGTTTAACACGACTATATCGATAAGTCAAGAGATTGTCGAGCACAATGTTCTCTCAGCTACGACTCTTTGATTTAGCATTCTTTCTTCTTCTTTTTTTTACAGAAATGTCTAATTTCTTTTAATTGTTCATTTTGTGTCCGATTTACACAACATATATACGTGTTTTACGTTTGTTTTTTCGTTCATTTTTTTTGTTGCATTTTCATTGAAATAATTTAGTATATGTCAATCGAACATAAGGAAGTTTTATATAAACATTCTGCTGTTAGATAAATAGCAATATTATGCACAACTTATAGTTATTCATTGTGAAGTTGAATGCTCACAATGTTTGGAAGCTAATCGGGCTCTAAACGAGTTATTTTGAAGAATGCGAGTGAAAAGTTATGCTAAAATTGAAATATGTGTTATTACATAATCGCATATATCGAGTAGAGATTGGCAAGGTACGAGGATTTGTTCGATGAAGATATGTTTTACTATTGTGGTAAAAGATGGAGAAGAAAATTCATGGGAAGTGTATTACAGATACAGAAAAGAACCGTCCAACATATCGGGAGATATATATGATCTTATCTTCTTTCCATTTGAGCTGGGTACTGAATTCAAGTTCACAATAAAAAATAATGAAGGAATATTGAAGAGACAAAAATATTTCTTTCTATAGGTAAGTTCTCTGTTGAGTTGAAAAAGCGTCAAAAAATTACAGCAATCAAATCCAAACATACAAAAAAATATATACCACTCATTAAAAAAGAGTCACTTGTTTATGGTATGTACTAAACTATATCTCCCAAGTTTTATATAGCTAGTCTGACTATTTCGAAGCACTAAATTCCCATGACAATGATATGCGTAGATAAACTATCTGAAATTTGGATAAATAGTAATTCATTAATTGTTGTCTGTTATATATATTTATTAAGTTAAGCTTTTTGAGATTGATCAGGATTTCACGGTGTTAGGTAAATGAACATATTCTTGACTGTCATCTTCACTCTAAAGAGGGGAACAAAGAAGATCAAAGCTTTTTAAAGCATCAGTTTAAGAATGCATACAGAATTATTATTACTATGACCAGAAGATTAGTATTTTGGGAATGAAAATTGAGAGGGAACCATCGTTTGCAAGAAAAAAAGCAGATGTTAACATGATCTCTATTCGTCTACCTAGTACATTTGCTGCTGACGCTGTTGTCGATACTAAATAGTAATGATGATATAGAAGTCATATTATATCCTTTGTCACTATTATTATTAAATATCCAGTATTTCTACGTATAGTTGTCGTTACCTGAGGAACATAAGCATATAGATCTTTGAACGTAGGAGATAACGGAGCATTTGTTTGTTCATCCGCATCCTTATAGTTCACCAGTCGATAATGTAATTCCATCGTTCCAGCCTAAAATACAAAAGGTGTAGCATTTCAAAAATTGATGAATAAATGCAATAGTTCTCTTACGGTAGGAAATGTATTAATAATTCCTAAAGTTGCATCATAGAGTATTGGCAAACTTCTCAGCGGTACTTTCCAACGTCCACTGAGTAATCGATTTTTATGATCAAATAAAGGAATCTTTGTCCATGATTTTGTTTGTAACGGAGCATTATCCGATTTTTGATTGGATGTTTGAACTTCGATAATAATGGTTAAGGCTTGTTGTGGTGGACAACTATACAGAGAAAAACAAAATACAGCAAACGTCTTTTAACAAATAAGCAGTCACATACCGTGGAACAGGCTGTTTTGTAGCAATTAGAACAACACTCATTTTTTGACCATTCTGATCGATGAATGGATCGCATGTAAATGATTGTAACTGTGATGGTTCACCGAGTCCAGATTTTGGATGATGTAAACATGTAACAAGTCGACATAATTCAACAGATGGATCCAGGTTCAAAATAAAATCGAAGAAGATTACAAAACCTCCAACGGGATCGTACGGCGATGGTTCTAAAGGATCTTTTAATTTGTTCATATTCGATAAAAGTAAACTCATCCCCGGGCTAGCACGAATTGCTGTTCGAGTTTTAAATTGCGAATCTTGCTCTAAATGTAATGGTTGTTCTGTTCGTATATTTGTTGTTGTAGGTGGTCTAGGATCATGATAGTAGTGGTCATCGTACGATGATGATCGAGGCGATATTAAAGGCAATGATACAGGGTTTCTTCGAATTAAGAAATAATAATCTGTAAAATGACTAGTAACAATCTTTAAATGTACCTGGTGTAGTGATGATGATGATGGTGGATATGATCTTTTGAAACATACGGTGTTACTGGTTCACGGAATGAATATTCATGAGAATGAGTATGTATATCTTTTAAAATAACATTAATTTCGATACAAATAAACAAAAATCATATACATTGCACGTACTTGTATTCAAGTTTCGAAATTTTTTCTGTAATAAATTAATATCGTTTTGTAACCGTTTATTTTCAGCATTGAATCGTCTCAATCGATCATCCATTTCATCCGTATAACGATCTAGCAAAAGGAACTAAACTAGAATAATACATTCTGACTCTTTTATCGATTCAATCTCCTATTTGAATGTTGGCGGCGTAGTAATAAAAAGAAGAAGTATATCATCGTAGTCAAAACACTGTCTATTTGAAGATGTGTTAAAATATAAAGTCAAAAAGTTTTCAAACTTACGCCTGTATGGTGTGAGTGGTTCTGGATTATCTCTCATCCAATCGCTGTTTTCAAATGTTCTAATTTTATATTCAAGATCAGTGTAATGTGCCAGAAATGCTGAATTATGTCCACCAGTTTTCAAATAATCATTCCGAAATGCTCTAGATATATACATAGTATGTTTGTCAACATTTCAGAATGTTGATTCTACTTTAAACTGACCTTATATCGTCGCCAAAATTTTCTCTCAAACGAGAGTATCTCTTATTGGCACCGTATAACATTGGTAAAGAAGTCATTTGTGCAGGAGATAAAGGTCTACCAAAAGACAAAAATTTAGACTATTAAAATGGGCAATTAAAAACCGTACCTATCCGTATAAATTTTCGTTCTCAGAGAGTTTAATGCATTTTCATTTAAATTTTCTTGATCTTGTAATTCTCGTAAAAGTCTGTAAGGAGTATGATGTGTTGATAATGGACCGTTTGACCGATTTGTGGAAATCAATTCTTCCAGTTTTTCTTGAATAACTATGATAAAAAACAGTGAGCATGAATAATAGATTATACGAACAAGTAATACTACATACTTCGTCTTTCTTTTTCTAGTTCAGCATTTTTTCGTTGCAAACTTCTTAATTGTTCTTTCTGATGCTCATCAGTTTCACCCTAAATAGAAAAAATCATTTTTTAACTAAAGTTGATGAATATGTTTATGTGATAATGACCTACATCATTGTCACCTGTTGATGGCTGTGATTGTAGAGTAAACATATCTCTCAAAAGAGCTCGTTCTTGTGCTTGTAATTTTTCATACTATAAAAGCAATACACATTTAACTGCTCTAACAAAACCACTTTTTTGTTTTTCAACAACTTACTTCCATCATAATCTCGGTATAAACAGATGAACGTTGTTTCAAATTATTGGCAAGTTTCTGTGTTTTACGTGAATCATGGAATATTCGATCTTCCATATCTTGGACATTTTGTAGCATTGATCGTTGAGTTTTATATTCATGAATTTCATCTACTTTCTAAACATAGATGGTAACGAAGAAAAATAATAAAAAGACACTCAATAATTCACACAAGTACATTCTTTGTCTTTGATTAAATAAAACATAGGAACGACAAAACTATTATATTTCTCGACAAATATAGATGTTGAAGATGTCAACAAAACCTTTTCTTTAAGATAGAAAATAGTAGATGAAGTCCGATCCGAGTGACTACGTTTGTTGTGGATTGTTTCCAGTATCAGGTTTAGTAACAAAACATTCAAATATTGTCGTTTTTGTTTCTACATTGTGTAGGCAATTTAAAGAAAATTTTCGGATCTTAGAAATCACGATTTGAGATGACTTCAATAAAACTTTGAATCAAAAATACTGAATTATTAAAAAATACAATATACAGTTGGTCTTTTTATGCTTAAAATGTAACCATTAATATGGTACACTTTTTCTTAGTTTTGACACTCATCGTCGAGATTTGATTTATTTTAAACAAATCAATAATAATTGATATGATTGATTTTGGAACTTTCTTCCCTTCTGTCAAAATCGTCTGAAAACTTTGCAAAGATATTAGCCAAAGCAGAAAAGCTACAAATTCTGAAAGACGACGCTTCACGTCGTTACCCATTGGTAAATATATTGACATTTCGAGTTGTACGACGAAAAAAATAAAATTTATTTGAAGGATGGAAGAGACATTTAAACACGTGTCTTTCATAATTCTTACTCGATTGCGAGGGGATCGTCGATTGACCATTTGTATTCGTGCTGTATCCGAAACTCTTGGACTTCTTTCATCATCCAAAATATTTTTTCTTTTTCTATATCTGTCTGTATCGTTGTCTACATTTAAAGGTCCCCTGCCAATGCCTGAATCCTTAACACCAATACAAAAACTGTTTTTATGCCTGATAAGTCCTTCATGTGTATCAAACACCATTCCACATTGATCACATTTGAAAATGTTTGATGGCATATCTGTTGGATAAAAAGAAAAAGAAGAAATCTTTGAATCTGTTGGTTTATTCGAGTATATATATATATTACGTTGTCAATCGCCTGTATAGCTTTTTTCTTCACAACTCACCTCCAATTTGCCTTTCTCTTATCAGTTGCTGAGGCATTTCATTACTTATAATAATCGGCTCCGCAGGCCGTATCAAACTTTGACCCTCAAGTGCGTTATTCTCATGCTCATTTTGATGTAGTATGAGTGTATGAGAAGAATTTTTTCGTGGTACTGGAAATGTATACTGTCTTGTCGGTCCTAGTGTATTATTTTGTTGATCATAGTATTGTATTAAAGTATTAGATGTTGGTATCTGTATATTATCAGATATTTCATATTGTTGTGGTTGTTGAGGATGTTGTTGACTTCTACTAGCTCCCATTTTCATTCAAAATCAGCGCAGAACATCAACATAATAGAATTTAATTCGAAATCGAGAAGAGAAAAGGGAATGAAAACAAGTGAGTGACAAATGTAATTTAAATTTTTATTAATTTACATTAAAATTTAAAATAAAAAGAAATCTTTTAAACTTACTAAAATTGATTTTAGGTATACGGTTTCTCGGACAATATCAAAATATCAATAGAATTCTCTATTATTATAAAAACAAATTTTTCCTTATTGATTGTACATAATCAAAATATTGGTGATATAATCTGCTGCAAACAGGTCGATAACAATTAAAATAACTTATAAATCTTATTAATGGAATTAAACTAGATTAAAATCAATCAGTTTACTTACTTTTTGCATTTATAATAAATAATGTTTTGAAGTACTAATTGGATGAGTACATGAAAAAAGAAAAGAAATATAAGTATTTTCGTCAATAAAGAAACTTTTCATTTGAATTGTCAATGTTATGGTAATGTACCTCCGTTGAACTAATATAAATTATTTCTTTCTTTAAAAGTAAAAGGTGAGAAATAAAAAAAAGAAAAAGAAATTAAAATCTTAAATATTTTATAATAAAAAAAGCAGGTTGAAACAAAAAAGACGTAAACATTTTCTTTGAAGAGAAAAAAAAGCTGATTTTACAACAGAATTTTGAGACGCATCAATACTAAGAAAAATTGATTGAAATAATTAGTTGAATTTCAACTTTATCGTACACATTTTTTTTTATTTTCTTTGATAATTCATCAACAATATTTTATTTTCAAGATTTTATAAATAACCTTTCATTGCTTCCTCAATAAAATTGAAATTGAATCAAGCGAGCATTATCTGTCAAATGTAACTAATATTTTTATGTATGTATGACAAATCCAGCAGAATTATAGGTTTAACTTTAATCTCTGGATTGAAAAAACAGAATTGTATACGATGTAAATCACTCCTTTATGATTGAGATCATTTTTTTTAAATATTTTTATTAATTAGATTTAAAAAGCAGTCTCAATTTGGAATGGAAAATATTCTCTCACTTCTTATAGAAATAATATATGATCTAAATCTGAAATAGAGAGAGCATTTCTTTTTGTCACACACTACGTATACTGTTTATAATTTGGCACTACGTTCTGATTTCCAATGATTATCTATTATTGACCTTCTGTACTCATATCTGATGCCCTTAAAGAAATAGAAATACCTTTAGAGAAAATCACTTCTTTCGAAAAACATCCTGCATATTCATAGAAACAAAAATTCGATCGATATTTGTTCAATCTAAAACTTATTGTATTATACATTATTCAATGCAGTTTCATACGCTGATTCAAAATACCACCTTGGTTTCTCTTAAAAGTACTCCTGGGCTGAGAAAAATAAATTTTATTCGAAAAATCAAGGAATTTGGAAAACCTATAGGGTAGTCCAGAAACGTTTATGCCACATTAGTGCAGAATAGATAGATGAATATGTGTGCACCTGAGGTGGGACCATGCCGGTAGAGATCGGTATTTCACCGGTTAAAACTTTTGAAACATCTGCTCTTTTTATCCTGTTTTTCGTCAAAAAACTAAAATTTCACGTCGTTTTCAATCATAATAAATAAGACGATGCTCAAGACAACTATTATTTTCATCACTTGTTTTAAGGTTAAATATTATAGACTCATTATTGTGAAGGGTCTCTCACATGTGCTCACAAACTATTTCACTTCTGGAGGGGGAAATTTTTTGTTTGTTTCTAAAAATCGATTTTCAAAAAACTTCTCCAGTATTTTACCGGTTTGAGTTATAATTCCAGCCGGCCAGTTTACCGGCTGGATCGAATCGGTTCCAGTTCTGGTGTGCACATTTCGAAGCAGTTTAAAGATCGGGAAAGTTTTGGAACCTTATTATACTGACCACAGTTGTGTGAAAAACCACTTAGTTTGAAAATAAATTCTATTTCTCTGATGGTATAGATTTAAACTAAGAAATTTCTTCACTACTAGACAGTTCAAAGAGTCTAAATTCAGAATCTTTATCATTTTTATTGACAACTATCATACACCTGTGGTTTTAGGCTACTCTTTTGCCTATGGGTTTCTCACGATCCTTAGCACGTGAAACAAAATTTTTATGCCACTAAACAGAGCACATATCGAAGTGTATTTTCTCTTCTTTGAATTTGGAAAAGAATTCAGAAAAAATAGACTTTTGATTTTTGGCCAAATGTTCGCTTGGATGCACACTGTGCAAGTCTCTCTTGATATCATATCTCATATCTATTTAAAATCTTCAGTAATTCTTTTCCCCATTCGATAATATCTAATATTGATAAGATGGTTTCTGAATGAAAAAAATCACTAAACAATTCTTTTTTTTTTGTTTTTCCTCTGAGATTGATTGAAAATAAAAATATGTATTATTTCCGCGTTGGGAACATGAAAATCACCTTGACTTTCTCTACTTCAAAAAAACGTAACAAGATATTTTTTTTTAATCGATTTATAGTAGAGTAAGTGGAAAAGTGATACTTCTTAAAGTCGTCGTTTGCGCATGAAAAACAGAAATAAAAAGAGAAGGAAATGCAAAATAACAATTTTATATATGTATCCATGTTTTTTTTTTGTTCTCTATTTTTTTCTTCCCTCGCAATGCAGTTTGAGATGAGATATAAATAAAACAATGATTTCTGTCATGATACTTACAAATGATTTTTAGTTAATGTTACTTAGAAGATCATATTGTAAATTAAAACTTAATATTTTCTTCTGTTAAAATGACATTTATGACTATGCTAAATTTCATTAATGATTAACTTCAAATGTTAAATAATATTTATTCTGTATGGATGGTGTGTGTGTGTGTGTGTGTGTGTGTGTGTGTTTTTTGTCAACCCATAAAAGTGACAAATTCTATTTAAAACGAATTGTATTCGGTGAGCCAAGAACAAATTTGTTTTTGATGATTATGCGTGAAACATGTCTTGAAGTTGAAGAAAACGACATTTATTTCTTCATATATAATTGATCGATTTAAAATGATTGGTATGTGGAAATAAAAGTTCTCTGTACCATGTGATTACATCATATGTGTGTGTGTGTGTGTGTGTGAAAGTCAATAAATGAAGACAAAGTATGTGTTGTTATAATTTCTTATCATCAATATATAACATACTGCTTCTTTTCCTATAGTTTTTTCTCTTATATGTACATATATTTATGCCATTTTTTTCTTTATATTGAAATAGGAGTTTGACAAAAAAAATAAAATTGTTTGTGTGAGGTTAAAATGAACAGAAGTTGTAGTATTGAAAAAATTGGGCGGATTTAATTATTCTTAAACGGAAAAAGGTAAAGAAGCATCGTTGTAGACACTGACTGTTCTGGTATTATTCTTCATTCACGTTGTTCGATTTGATTTTGAACAAAAAATAAATAAATTCCTTCTCTTTTTTTTTTTGCTTCTCCTCACATCTCTTCTTTTTTTTGCAATTGGTTTTTAAATTCAATTTTTTTTTTCTTCTCTCTTCTCCTTCTTTTGTCTTTGTTGATATATGAAATATGATCTATTATTCTTGATAGATTCCTTGAACTTCATTTCTTATGGGCGATCATATTTTATGAGCTCCATATGTATAGAGAGAAAGATAAAAAAAAATATGAAAATTAATTTTGATACACAAAATTTATTTCTTAGAATTTTCTCTTAGAAACATGACTGTACTTTTTTACATTAATTGTATGTTAATTTGTTGAACAGATTAGACAATTTGGGTAAGATACATATTATTCTCTTCTTTATTATCTTCTTCTATTTTCTTTTATATTATAAATAAAGAAAAATTATTCTATTATTTGTCGACTTAGACATAAACATGAGAATTGTCTAAATATTTTAATATTAATGAATCAATAATTGATATGCAGTAAGTTCATTCTCACAATAAATTAGTTGTATATAGAAAAAAAAGAGGAGTATTATGAATAGTGTTATCATTTGAGAAATGAGAAGAAGGATTGATAATATCAAACAAGTACAGAATAAATAATATCTTTTAGCTATTTCACAGATATACTCCAAATGTTAATTAAATACAAACCTAAATTAGCTAACATCTCTTTATCAATCTATTATTTTAATCTTTTTTTCGTTGTATTGTATCCTTGATTTTTTACCGTATAATATCCTGTAGTTTCGATGAACCAGACAAATAATAACAGTAATATACATTCGTTCAAATTAATCTCTGATGGCGAATATATATACACATATGCATATCTATCTATCAATCTATCTATATATCCAGAATTAAATCATTATCATCATTACAAATAGACAAAACAACAAAAGAGGGAAAAAAAACGTCGACAACAATTTGTTTCTATGATATGATTTCATTCATATGTGCGACAATCTAGAAAACATAACATATCATTTAGAGTTATCAGACAATTATTTTATCTTTCAACATCGTGTACATACCATAAGAAATTGATTTTTTTTTTCAAAAAGTCTATTCTTATCAAACTAAGCCTATTCATTTCTTCTTTTTGATCAAGGTGATCAGATTTACCTTGACAAACCATAGACATGCACATGTAGAGTAAAATTAATTTAGGTTCTCTTTTTTTTTTTTTTTTTTTTATTTTTGTTTTTTCGTTGAATATTTTATCATTACTGTAAGCACCACGTGTCTATTTGCAAATATATTTTGTTCTTTATGAAAAAAAAGCAAAAAAAATCATCTATATTTTGTAAAAATTTGATGAACAATATATTTTTCAAAAAAAAAAACAACAAAGTAAATTAATTTAATCGATATGTACTCTATAGAAAATGATTTTGTTAAGGTCCATTTTATGTTCATAATATTTTTATATATATTTATTTATTTTTATCTATTTTAGATGTAATTAAAAATTATTAATTTTACCAAAATTAAATTTTTCTCTATGTAAAGCAATGTCTGTCGAATTTTATTATGAATCATGGATTTTTGAATTATCTTCATTATTTACTCATTTGTTTAATAATTAAATATATTTATTCGTGTAACGAAATTTTAAATAATGATTCAGGAGGAACAATTTCATATCCCATTGATCAAATGACATATGATAATAATATTATATGTAGTTGGGAAATAACATCATTATCAATAACTCATCGAACATTAATATTTACATTTTTACATTTTGATACTGAATATTTTTACGATGAATTATTAATTGGTGAAACAGTATTGGGTGTTTCACGTTATAATTCAAAATTAACACGTTTTAGTGGACCAAAAATACCTGAACCATTTTATATATCATATGAAAAATCTGTTTGGCTTGAATTTTCAACAGATGATACAACAGTTGGAACAGGATTTATTTTAGAATATGCATTTATTGATCGAAGTAAGTACAAAAAAAAAAAAGTAAAATTTCACTAGTCTATAACTGATAGCGCTAAAAGCAGTTAAAAGCACTTGACACACTTATGTAATGACAATTTTTCATTCCACTTCTCTTTAGTCTACTAGAATAAATATTCTTTCTATTGATACTCGTAATCGAGAGTTTTATTATTATTATATCAACTTTTTCATTATGACGAAATCCATTATAGATACTTATACAAATTGTTGGTAGTTTAGTTTATAAAGACAAGAGAAGAAGAAGAAGAAGAAAAAAAATTTTATTTGACGCTTCTCAAGTAGTTTACAAAGTGAACTATGATGAACACTAAACACTTCTTTGACAAATATAGAAAAAAATAAGAAATGATCAAAAATGAACAACTATTTGACATCTTTAGTCTTCAGTCTTGAAAATTTTAATATTTTGTTATTGTTCTAACAATAAATGTATCTAGGCTCAACGAAACCTTTTCTATACCATCTATGACATCTGCGACAGCAATTCTTCTCTAAAAATATTTTTAAATTGGCTTAGTTAGATTGATAGAATGTGTAAAAGAAAGAAACAGATCATAATTTTCTTTTCTTTTTTTATTAGCTTCATTGATCATGTATGGTTTATTTAAATTAATTATATTCTGTTAATTCTTCCATTTTCTATGATATCTTCTCCCTCTTTGTCTCTTTTGAACAAAAAGATGTTCAGAGTTCACGATTATCTCATTTTGTGATGAAAAGTGTGCTTAATAAAATGGCAGATCTTTGAACTCATCCGGATTCTCTGTTACGAAAATATATCAACAAAAGGTAGACAAACACTGTTTAAAAAAAAAAAAGTTTCGTAAGAACGTCGTGTTGAATATTTCCGCAATATCTCTTAATCAAGAATCTTAGTGAGTTCTGGGATCTGTCATTTTATTAAGCACACGTTTCATCACCAAATGAGACAATCGTGAACTCTGGATATCTTTTTGTTTGACAGATTACCAAGAGAAGAAAATAGCACAAAAGGTTACGGAATCACGTTTTCAGTCGAGTTACGTCGAATGGCCCCGATAAGAATTTTTTTAATTTCCTGTGAAATACTCTAAATTTCATATTTTCACCCGACTATTAGAATTTCCTTCTCTAATTGAGTTTTTCCAAGATTTACAATGGTTTTATACAGAAAATTTTTTGAATAATCCATTTTCATAACAGATTTGCAAAGTTATTATTCTATAGGACTATACAGTTCAATCTTAACTATCAATTTTTAAAAAATCGTCGCAGGTCTTCATCTCTCTTTTATTTAACATCGACTTAAAAATCTCTAAGTCATTCATGTGGATAAGCCAAAGGAAGCATATATATGTATATACATAAAAGTCGTAGAAAAGTATTTGTTTACTGATTTTTTTTTTCACTTATTATGCACAAAAGTAAATATTTATTGAATTTTCTTTATAAATGATATTGAGTGTCTCAATAAATATGTACATATACTTGAATGATGTCATTTAGTATCAGCTTCTATATTCTCATGTTTTTAATATCACGATTATTCGATAGCTTTTCAAAACTCGTCATAATTCTTGTTATTTTTTTAGACTTTCGCTAAAAATATTATTTTTTCATAGCACTAGACTACGAAAAAAATTATAGAGATCAATGCCAATTATTTTTCTAAGAAAAAGAGCTATTAATTGATACACGTACTATGTCTGGATAAAATGTAATTTAATATGAACAGTTAATCTGAAGAAAAAACAACAATTGTTATCTATTCAAGATGACATATCGTCCAAATACTATTTTTAGGAAAGTTTTCGTCTATGAGTATTTACGTAGCTTTAGAAGCTAATACGGATGATAACCTTTTTCTTGTACAATGAAACAAAACAAAAAAAATGTCTTCTGTCATGTAGATAGATAAATAAATGAAATAACGATTAATCTTATAAAGAACCTTTCACCGACATTTTATTTGTCTCTATCATTCGTTAATGAGAAGAGTCTGTCTATCATGATCAAAAAGAACAACGAAAGATTATTGATTAGAAACCATACATATATTATTTTTCACACAAATAATTTCCATAAACTTCAAATGTTATGTTACGTACAATTATATAAAGAATTTGTACTTAAATTTATGACATAAATGTGTGGTTAAAAAAAACAAGAATTCAATCATAATTTTTATTTAGAAAACAGTATCAATGTTCTGTTTATATCACAAACTGAAGTGAAACACATTCCCGTATAGTTAGGTTTTTAATTGTGTACAAAAGAAAACAAAGTTCTCTGTAAATACTGTAGATAAAAATCAAATATTTTTTCTCTTCTTTTCCTATCCTATTTTGACAGTAAAATATCTTATATTTCTCTCATAGCTGTTTCTATGCCAAAACCCGTACTTCTAATTGATGCAAATATTCAATATAATGCGGATGATAATAATGATGATGATGATGAAGTAAAAACACACTCATTTCCTATTGGAACAATATTCAGTCCAAATTATCCAAAAAATTATTCAAATTATGGTGTAAGCTATTTATTATATTTTAGTTAAAAATTTAATTAATTATTTTCTTTTTTACATTAAAGACGTGTCGATGGCGTTTACATTATCCTGGTGCATTAATTCGTATTCGAATTGATCATTTTGATACTGAACAATATTATGATAAATTAACATTTGTAATTGGACAAAATTCGGAGAGTGCAGCAATGGTATTAACCGAATTATCGGGTGAATTAGATGTATTACCAAAACATATTTTTGTTCCAAATGATAGTTTATGGATGATATTTACAACAGATCGAACTACGAATGCTACAGGATTTATATTGCAATATGAAATTATTACTAAAGGTAGTTAACAATAATATTTAATTATATTCGAAAAAATGATTATATCTCTTGTTTAGAGACAAAATGTTCTTCTATTGATATTAAACAAATTGAAGGTCATATTCAATCTGTTAATTATCCACAATCATTACGATCAAATTTAGATTGTACATGGAAATTATATTTACCTTCTACATATATGATAATTGAAATTCAATTTCATGATTTACATTTAGCAAGTGAAAAAGATTATTTGACTGTACATTCGGGTAAATTGTTTTATATTTAAATATACTTAGTTTTATAAAAAGAAAAAAAAAAACCGTAAAAAAAAGTCAGAGAATGTCAATATATGTAAATTATTTTATTCTCTTTCTCTATAATTATATAATATTTTAAATTATACAGTTCTAATATATTTTAGGTGGTCGTCTTACACCCTATACCGGTGAAATGAAAGCAACTAAAATTTTATTTCATAGTTCCAATATTACATTAAATTTAATTACAAGACATTCATCGGATAATTATAGAGGTTTTAACCTTTCATATCGTGGAATTTCAATAAACGGTAAGAATATAAAAAGGCTTTATTGTTCTTGTTTTTTTTGTTTATTGGCTTTAACTATTTATTATTATTATTATTATTATATGTCTATAGTTGGCTTTCTTAGAAGAAGACACCCATCATCGACCAAATACTACGGAACTTGCTGTTGTACATCAACGATCATCATGTGGTGGAAGATATTTAGCATCATTTAATGGTACAGTTTTATCACCAGGTTATCCTGTCTACGATTATCCAGTAAATATTGATTGTACATGGATTATCGATGTATTCGATGGACAAAATGTTTTATTACGTTTTGATGACTTTGATCTCGATTCAGAAGAAGATATTATTCAAATAGGACTTTTAAATGATGTGACAAAATATCAACTGTTTGCTATACATGGTAAGAAATAATACATAGATAATAAATTATCCAATTATATTATTTTTATCTATTTTAGATACACAAACAGATGGTGTATTCATAGCAAATTATAGTCAAATATGGATACGTTTTCGTACAAATATCTTTTCATTACCAGGACGTGGTTTTCGTTTATATTTTTCTGAGACAACATTATGTAAGTTAATAATTTAAAAATTATATTTTTATTTAAAAAATTTTTTTCTAATAATTTAGGGTCAACTGTCTTACCATTAGATGAAATTATAACAATTGATAGTAAATCATTACCACTTCATCTAAATAGTTTGACACCACATTTATATCGACAATCACGTTCTACAATGACTGGTTATTATAATTTGACGCAAGTATATTTCGATTGAATTAGATTTTCATTCAATTACTCTCTTTTATTATCGTATTTTAGATTCGAAAATGGATTATTCAAACGAGTTCTGAAGAATCAATTGAAATTTTATTTAATTCAATTTTAACAGTACCAGATCATCGAATGATTTGTTTTCATATAGAATCCATTGATGGTCATCTAACATCAGTTTGTAATAATCAATTATTTCCCATTGTTATTTATCAAACACGATCATTTACATTGTCAATTAAACCTGATTTCATGTATACACTAGTTAATTATGACATTCAAATTGAAAAATTTAAAAAAAGTATTGTATATATTTTCTTTTACTATTTAAAAAAAAAAACTTATTTGTAAATTATTTTATTTATTAAGAAACTATTATTCAAAATATTGTTGAAAATGAAACAATATTAACAGTGCCTGATTATCCTTATGTGCATTATGAATGGCATGTTAATATTCAAAATAGTTCACTTATCATAATTAATGTTAAAAATATTGAAAATTTAGATACAATATTTCTTGTTAAAGGTTTGAATTTTTACAAACTAATAAGTTTATATTGTTATACAAACTATACAATATTTTTAGATGAACACAATTATCAAACCTATTCATTAACAAACGGTTCTCATTTTTCACATATTTCATTCTCTCAATCTGTAATTCTTGTCTATCAATCATACATTTTACCATTAAATCGTAAACGAACGTTTTATGCTACAGTTCATTCAGGTATTTATGTTAATTTTGATCATTTTTAATGTATGAGTTCTAATATATTTGTTTCTATATAGCTACTCCAAACTTTTGTGGACAAATTCTAAAGCCAAATGATTTTATGTATATTTATTATAATAATAGTGATTTTCTATTGGTATGTATCAATGTTTCATTTTTCAAATCATAGAAAATGTTTAAATATTAATTAACTTTAGAAAAACTGTCAATGGCAAATTCAAGGTAATACAGATTCAAGTTACATTATTAATGTTCGTTCAAATGAGACAAATCACATACCACAATTGTATACAACAGCTGGAAATAAGTTAATACTAAATCAGAATACTGTTATTCCCTATTCAGATTTTACTATTAAATATATTTCAAATTCTACTATTTATGAACAATTTGTAATTATATTATATTACTATGAAAAAAGTATATTGTCTTTTAATTAATATTTTCATTTTTATTTTTTATTTTGTTGCAATTTTAGCTGAAGTAATTCATGAAATGACAAGTAGAAATCAATATACACTTCAGTCAAATCAATATTCATTTAATTATATTGAAAATTTTGTAATTCGAACAAAAAGTTCAATATATCAGTCAATTGATTTTGTTTTGTATTCAATAAATATAGCCAAAGATGCATTTGTTTTACTAGAAACTGGTAAGTTTAAGTAGTTATAATCTTTTTTTAATTACTATAGCAATATATTCCGTTTGGAGTGATAGACAAGTAGAAAAACTTTTTCAGTTTTAAATAGTCAAAATTTCTTCATTCAAGTTTACAAATTTGATGCCCTGTTGTTTGGTAATGAATGATAACGTAATTGTTGTATATGTAAATTTTCAAGTAATTGTCGTTCGAACATTGAATGTTTCATGTACGCCACTTCATCATAGATATTCGAAATATTATCGAAAGAATCTGAATCGGTCATTGTCAGTAATTTATTGATAAATTTTGTATTTGAATTTGTTTTGCTCAAAACTTTTTGTTCTCGATTATGATAGATTTTTTGCTTTTTTTTCACTTTTTCATTCGGTGAGACACTTTGTGCTACTGATTTATTCATGTCATTTGTAATATTTTCAAATATTTCTGATGATAAACTACTATCTGTAAGACAATTCGATGATAGTAATTGTTTTGACGATAGTGGATAAAGTTTACTATTAGTTTTCTTTTGATGGTATTTTTGATTTTTTACCAATTGTGATGATGAACCATGAAATTTTCCACAATTTAATTGAAAATCAGCTGTTATTTCTGAGACAGCGGATGATATATCTTTTTTCATATAACGTTGATGATGGATTAAAGCCAATGTCGATTTTAAACGTGTATTAGTAGGAAGAAAAGTAGAACTGCTGTTTGACATTCTATTAATATTTTATCAACAAAAACTGTAATTACATAAAGTAGATAGCAGCAAATTGTTGTTGTTTGTTACAAAAATATATTTGACTGTAATTTGAATTATTGATATGAATCTATGCTTGAATTTTTACATATAGCAACGACACTAACATTTTGAGACCATATGACCGTTTTTTATTTGATTTCTCTCGTTGACACATAAAATTCTGTATGTTTTCGTTTTTAAATGTATTTTTTTACAATGATTATTAGTTAAAGAGCTCTTTAAAACAAGTTTTACAGTTTTATATTGTTAATAATCAATAATAATAATCGTTTTGAGTAGTCTAATTCAAGAAAAACATTTTAGGCGATAGAATCTTGATAATCTTTCTGTTATTTTTCTTTTTTTATTTTATACATACTTTTACTTTCTAACATATATACATCCGTCTGAGTGAAAAAAACATAAGAGTTTTGTATAAACATAATAATAGTACTTGTAAACATGATGCACTTTGGCATATACGGCTTCAATGATCTAGCAATTTGTCATGTTTATTAACAACCATCAAAAATTTTAATAATTCAAGTTTCAATATTTCTTAAACAAGATTAAGTACTAACTATTCTTATAAGTTATTATTAGTTTGTGTTCTAGTATTTTTAAGAAAATTTTGATTGATATAATTAAATTTTCAGTATATAAATTTTTAATTCACTCACTGTATACCATTATCATATGATTTAGATATGCTCTTGTACAGAGGTTTATGAACAATAGATTTTTAACTAAAATATTTGTTACTATCAACTTAATAAAGTTTATATCAACAATAATGTGATTTAAATAGAGAAAATTAATTTTTTGTAATCAAAATCAAATTTAATAGCAAAAATATGTGCAATTGTTTCTTAGTAGCGAATTATTAACATTTAACAGAGACATATTGTAATAAGAAGGTTCACCAAAAACTCATTAGTTCATTTAGATAGACATAATTGAGTATCCTTGTATTGAAAGTTTATTGAAAGAAATTGTCTGTCTATATGTACAAAAAAACTGAACAAAAAATAATTTTCGTTCTTCTTTTATCAAATTGGATATAAATATATGTACACTGACAAAATTCTTATACATGTATTGTCTCAATTGTTTGTATTATCGAATATTTGCTTAATAAAATTTTGTGTACATTTATATATATATCTATAGAGAGAGAGAGAGAGAGAGTTGAGACTATGTGGTAATAGCAGCCACTATATATATCTAGCCTATATTCTGTTGTCCTTTTTCTTTTCCCTTTTCTCTTTTTTTTTTCTCTTTTTCTCTCACAATGTACAATATTCCTTTTTAGAAGAATGAATAATTAGACTTTCTTCCTTTTTTTTTTTCTTCTTCTTTGAGTATTGAACATCGACAATTTTTATATGTTGTACATTTTTCATTTTAGACAACAGTCAAAATAACAACAGTCGACTATATTACTTATTAAATTCATCAGTCAATGTTGGCTTTCATTTTTCTATAAAAAGTAGTCATGTTAAAGTTGAATTACATAGTGGAATACAATTGCCTCCTGAACACAATAGTGATATCAATAGATTTCGTTTAAAATACAAAGCAAAAACACACGGTGAGTAATCGAATAAAAAAATATTTCTTATATCTCATGTATCCATATTAATTTATAGATAGATGTTTAAGCGATAAATTTACTGATCCTTGTCAAAACACTTATTTAGCATGGACATTTAATTATTTATCAGTCAAATGTCTATTAGAAACAGTTTGTGATGTATCCACTAATCAATTTGCAAGTCACCAACAATGTAAAGAAGCTTGTGTAAGTCTCACTATTTTAATTTAGTAAAATCATTTTTTTCAAACTTTTTTAAATTCAACATACATCTGAATAGATGAAAATGATCGATAATACGTTTTAATCGAAGACATGACAACTTTTATAAAAGTCAAATATGAAAACATGAGAAATGTTTTGAATGTAATATTTTCTAAATTTTTTCAAAGAAAGTAAAATTTGTAGATGACTATTTTTCTCATAAATTGCAAGATTCTACATTAACTTCTGCACTTCTGTCATTTATAAGTTTAAATTAAAATTTAAGTTTAATAATTTTTACTTTATTATCGAGTTAAAATTATTAAATTATATTGTTGGTGTTTTTGTCATTCTAAATGGAGAGGTTACAACGTCTCTATGAAAAAAAAAGAAGATTAACAAGAGAGTATTATTATTATGTCAGCGTTATTGACATTATCAGCGTGTAGACTATAAGAATTATTAGAACATTGTCTCTATGTGACTGTATAGAAGGAAATGATGATGTTCAAACATCGTATGTGATAATCTCTCTCTCTAAATCATTAGTAAGTAAGTAAATATAGAAATTGAGTATTTTCTCATTATTAATAAAAGTCACCTTTAAAAAAAGAAAAGTGTTCCCGACAGCATTGATGACAGACGATAATTAGTAACCGTGTAAAGTACGAGACACATAGAAATACTATGGATCATTGAACTTACAGAGATAAAAAGCATAAAGACATATTTAAAGCTCGGTCAACTGGAAGGAAATGGCATATATATATTTTTTTTATTCAAGTATACTACTGGAATAAAACTCATATTTAATTGTATCAGCTGTATGTCTAATTCCATTAGCCGAGAAAAAACAATTACTAATTTTTTTTATACAATAGCAGAAATAGAAGTTTACACATAGACGTCTGAAAAGAAACAAAACATCTATTATTTTTCAATTAGGGCTTTCAACACGATAATCTTTTTCAGTACAGAAAAAACGAAGAATAAACAGTATATGATTAAAAATTGCATTTACTCCTTTAGTAAGTAGGTCTCGCTTCATTAATTTCAAAATTAGCTGTTAATAGATTTTTCATTACTCTTAAATCCTTGACAAATTATTACTGTAATACAGGCTGGCTATGTTTAAACACCGTATAAATACGCTCAATTTCATCATTTAACTTATCAAGATAGTAGATCAGTTCTTAAGTGAAAGCATATGATTATAAACACGAAATTAATTAACAATTATTTTTGTTTTTTTAGATTAGTTGGATCAATTCAGTTAGTTTAATGACATCGAACGTTAACAATACACGTATTCCTACTTATCAATGGAGTTTTGCCGTTCGTGGCTCAGTGACATTAATTATTGAAGATATATCCATTCATTCAGTAATACTGAATATGATAATAGAATAAAAAAATAGCTATTTCTATATATTTTTTTTTATAAATATCTATTTTTAGTTTGAGCAAACAGTATACAAAGTGTTAAAAAATAGTATATCAAAAACTGTTCAACGTTATTGTAATGAACATGAATGTTTTACACATGATTCAGATGTAATCAGGTAGGAAGTTTTAAAAATACGGAAATTTTAATGAGACAAGTAATTACAATAATTATTAGGTTTTTTTTTTGAAGATTATATAGACAACGTAATTGATAGAGCGTCTGTTCTGTTCTAGGCCAGAACATATAATTATTCAAGCGTATGAATCTCACAATAGTCGTCAATTATACGTTTCAATGTTTGTAAAAGATCCTTATCATGATGATATCGGATTGACAAATGATCAATTTTTACACGCATTGCGTTATAATCAACAAGAATTGTGTCGTGATATTAAACATCAGGTATGTTGTTAGTTATTATAGTAAAATAAAACTTTTGTACAATTATATTTGTGGTACTGTTTAGAATAATTGATAATGTTTTCTTATTTAGATAAATCTACCATTAGCATTTTTTGAACAACAATCGCCAATTGAACCTGTATGGATTTATGGAGCATGTTTGTTAGCTTTACTCACGTTGGTCATAATAGTGGCAATGTTAGTCATGGTACTTATGAAACGAAAGTACGTTAAAAACGGAGTTTATTTGCACAACTATAACTCTTAAAACTGGAGCATTGATTCTAAGTCTTGACGTATCGAAAAATCATAATTTTCTCCCTTCTCGTGTATAAGGAAATAGTTGTAGTACTCAAAATAGACTTAAATAGTTGAACGTGTGAATCAGTAATTTTTAATTGTGATAGTTACGTGTTTATCAATACTGTATTTATGATTTAAAAAATGAAAACATGGTTTAACAAACGATTTCTGTTAAATGGCAGGGTCATTGTAGTCGATTTGCTCACTTAATTACATCACTTTAAAATATTTACACTTTTATTGATGAACCGAATTTTGAGTTGTCAATATTTCTATAGATATTAATTCAATGGAAATAAAAAACACAAATCATATTGTTTCATTTTGAGCATTTTGATCAAAAGTACTTTAGATAATACATCGTGTTTTTTTATCCTTCACATCATCTATAATTTTGATATATGCTTTTTTTTTATTTTAACATGCATATTTATTTCTCCTTTAACTGTTCTTTAGTGTCAATAGTACAAAGTTAGAAATATTATGTTTAAAATAACGTCATAGTTGCCTATGTTATAAAAACACTCTATTTGTTTAGACTACGAGCCAACAGCGATCCATCCGACTATAGTCAAGAACGAAAACAACAATTAAAGAAAAATAACGAAAAATGCTTACACAGGTAGCGTCGCCTATCATTGTTCTTATGGCACTCTTAGTAATTGCATACTCTATTTTCAAGTCTCTTGACAACACCCATTCGATCTGTCGATGAAGAAATTGCCTCATCTACCGATATCAATGAAACAGAAAGTTCAAATGCCTCGAATACACTTGATACAACAACAGCTAGAACTTCATGTATTCAAATTAAAAATAATACGTCTTATTTTCAATCTGCTATTGAAAATGTTATTCGTCATCGAGACGATGATCCAATACCATTTATAGATGAAACAATATCAGCAGGTGCTAGCAGAAAAAGTTCGGCATGTTGGAGTGAACGAACGAGTTTGAGTAGCCGATTTGGATTACGATTTAAACGATTACATACTCATAATTATCGAGTTTCCGGTAATGATGCCATAATAACATTAGAACCCCAAAACAGATCCAACAGTAACTTGAAAGAAAAATCTCATGGACAAAAACGACAACAACAATGATAAATGGAACAAATGTTCTGCCATAGAATATATCAGACGAATGAAAATAACTAATTACTTTAATTCGTTTTGGACCAAACCTTTGATGGCAATAATTTCTGTTTATCTCATCATAACAGTGAGTTTTGTTTAGATAACAAACTATTGATTTTTTTTTGGTTAAATCAAATCTTACGCGTTTGCTTTTATCAGATGTGTATATAATATGTGAAACATTTTTTGTATTAATGTAGATATTTTCACCATTTCGTTAAACATTTAACTTTCATATTAGATGAGCGGAGTGCCGTTCGAAATATTGTGTTATCTCCGTAAAGCCAATGTTTTTCTTCTCATTCAGAATTAGTACCATGAAACCATTCTTGTGTGTCAAAATTTCATGTAAATCGCAGTAATGCTCGATATGTCTGATCTTTTTTTCCAAGACGAAACCAGCTGAAATATTATGAATAAACCGTAGAATAGAAACTTTAATGGCTATAATATTTCAACCACAAGTAAAGACATTCTTAAAACGTGTTGAAAATATCATTTAAATAAAAGACCTTTAGCTTGACTACATTCAAACTGAAGAAAAACATAAAAATACATATAAGACAACACAGTAAATAATAGAATGCCGAATTTAATAGTACTACCTAAATCCGAACTTTGTTCAAATTTACCTTTGACAATTAACTATGTAATTTTCCATATAGTGTTACGTTTTACTAATATCTAAGTGATTAAAACGTTAAGCGAAACCTATGGACATTCATATATTCAAGAGTCTCATCATTTCAAATAGCATTGACTTTTGTAATTGCTAAAAGCTTTTAAATTGTTCAAAGGTTATTTAAATCTCCTTCGACAATTTTGAATCAGATCTACTTTTTCTTTATCATGTTTTAAATGTACCGGCCATTGTATTTCATAATCGGAGTCCAGAAAGCTGGTTTTTGAGCGTGGGAGTTTTACGGGGCACTTTTTTCTTAGAACAGTCTTAAACATTGAAGTCAAACAACAATATAGGCCTTGTAGAGCGTACTTTCTTTTATCTAAAAATTATTGTGGAAAAATTTTGTATTGTCTCAGGCAGCTTCTGGAAACGGTTTTTTAAGGAAAAGCCAGGATTCTGGAAAACTTTTTACGGAGACCAAGCGTTTTACGACAAAGCCTTGGCTTTTCTGCATTCGTATAAAAAAACATGGCTTACAAACGTATAAGATCACCAATACATGCCCCCTAACTTTAGTTTTTCCAGAGGTATTCTAAAAAACCTTTACGGATTTTGTATTCTATATGCTTCTAAAATAATGTATTTTGAATTCTGACTATCCTCTTTGAAACTAAACAAGTCCCAGATTTTTACTCCCCATGGTTCGGGAGCTATAGGCATTTTCCGAGGACCTACCTGTCGGCTAAACTTCATGTTTGGGAACTTTTAAAACACATGGAACATAGATTATCGACCACGCTGAATCTTATGACATTGTTTGTTTTACGAAAAACCTTTACCTAACGAAATTTTGTCTGTGCTACACCATGAACTTCCAGAATAGTTTTGAAAACCAACAGAAAGTCCTTTGGTTTTTGAAACGTTTTCTAGAAAGCTTTGGGAATGTTTCGTACTAATTTCTACTACAAAAATACGGTTAAGCACATAAAATGAAGTATATGTTGATATTCTGAAGCAGTTTGAGACAATTTCGACTAAGTTATGAGTTTTTTAATTTTCGAGCAAAATAGTGAAAAATAGATTATTTCGTCAAGTAAAGGCTTCTACCAGGTTTTTAAGGTTTTTCGAAAAACAAACAATGCCATAAGATTCAGTGTGATCGATAACCTATGTTCCATATGTTTTGGAAGAAAAACTGATAATACTCTTAGATTCAGCATGATCAAAACCTGTAAGAAGCTCTAGATAGCTAAGCTCTCTCGAACCTAGCTTCAATATTAGAGAAGACAATGAAAGTAAAAATCGTCTCATTAGAATCAATCTCAGAAAACGTGTAGTATACGAGCAGTAACATAGATAAAAATAATTCCCTTTGTTTCCTATGGATTTTTAAGTTACTTGCTGATGTACGTTGACAGCATACGTTTTACGATTTAATATTTTTTTAGTAGAAATATAGAAACAAGAAAGAAAAAGGAAAAATCATTTAACAAGCGTACAAAAAACACACACGCACATATGTTCTTAATTTGAAACGTATGCATGACATTTTCAGAATAAACAGCAAAGAAAAAGAAAATCCTGTTTGACACAAAAAAGAAATGATAATAAAATATTGTGAAATGAAATGAAGTTCAATTTTTTTTTATTCTGAAACACGTGGTGACACGAAGACAAAAGAAAAAAAGAATTACACTTTTAAAAAGAAAATCGAATTATTGTTGAAGTCGGTTCATCCCGAATGTTTCTCACTAAGTCTCACTTCCAATGTTGACCTTTAATGATCTTATACATCAATCAAGGTCAAATAAAGAAGATACATTGTATGATAGAGACAACTGAATGAATCCACGTGTTATAATTTTGAATTCGTAGATAAACGAACAAAAAAGATTACATGACAATGAGCGGAGCGTGTGAATGATGAAAAAGAAAAAGGGTTTTCTACAAAGCCAGATGGTCAATATTCTTCGTCGCCACCAGCTGGTATCAAAACACCTCCATCCTGACCATTGCCATTTTCTTCCGGCGATGCGAATCCTTCCTGAAATGACACAAACAAGCCCAAAACATGAAAACAAAGAACACAGTCAAGTAAAAATAAAAAATTGCCAATTCTAATCAGCTCGTAAAAATCTTTCTCAAAATTCAAGAAACTTGGAAAAAAATCACCAAGACTCTAAAAGAAAGTTTTTTCTAAAAAAAAAAAGTACATTATACTACAGCAAGATTCAGATCATGTGATAACAGTAGATGGATCCTGATCTACGCTCTTCTCTCAAAAGGCAAAGTACTCAGTCATTTATAGAGCAAGCTTTTAAAAAACAAATAATTTGTATCAAAAACTGAAAATTTAATTCGATAGCTTAACTTTTTCAGCAACAAAATGAAAATCATCAAAAAACGGAAATTAGAAAACCGTTTGAAAAAAATTTCAAAATCGGACGAGTTAACAACTCCGACAGCCATTCTGATGTTCGACTGACAGCTCGGACACAGTACTAGGATAGAAAAAAAAATTCATGTCCTATTTTGTACTGAACATTTGTTAGTGTAACACGTCTGTTATCATACAATTAAAGAAATAGAGCAGAGTAACTATACATAACGTTGTGCAATCACAGCAAAATCGATAATAGATTGAACTAGCGCAACAAAATAAGAATGTAAGATTGATCCAAGTACATATTGAATTTTAAAGCAGTTTTTATTACAGCATGTGAGTGTACAGGAAGAGAGAGATTCAAACGTTTACAAAGCTTTTCTAGATATCAAATACGTGAGCATCATAGATACCTCTTATTTCAAAATTCCTGATCATCATTTTCATTATCGTCAGGCATTTCAAATCCTTCCTGGAGAGAACCAAAACAAAAAATATTAAATTAAAACTTTTTCCTCTTTCTAAGATTCTCTCAATAATTAATTTTATAGGTTTGCGATGAATCACAGATTTGAAAAAATGTCTGATTCCATAAAATGAAAGGATTGTTGAATAGGAACAATTTATTACCTCTGTTGCGTATAAAATTTCTAAAACTTTTTGTATTTGAGGTAAATTTTCACAATCTGGTTCTTGACATATTAATTCAACATCACGTAGTTTTTGATAATAAAAATCACGTTCTTTTTCCAAACCTTCAATTTGCTGCCGAAATTGATCCATTTGTTGATGATAATTCTCGAGCTAAAATGTAAGAGAAATCCCTTTTATGGTATTTATTTTCATTTAAATTCAAATTTTACCTCAGCTTGTAATCGAACAGTCTCGCCATTGAGATGATGATCATTACCAGCACTCGTCGTAGCAGCAGGAGCTTGCCGATGTGATGGTGATATTTTTTGTTGTGGCACTTTCACTATAGAAGATAAAGTTATATAGCAGAGAAACAAAAAATATGTTTTCAGCTTACTTGTATTTAACACTTGTCTTGGTTGATTCGTAGATGTTAATGGTACTCTTTGAACTGGTGGATTAGCAGAAACATGTGATACTGAATTTTCTTGATGTTGAGTTTGTCGAATTGCTGGTTGTGGTGCGGCTCTTGGCAAACTAGATGCACCAGTCGTATGAGCACCACCTTTTGATACTCCAGGACCAAGAGGTTGCCCTTTAAATAAGCGAAAGTGTGTAAAATATCAAACAGAATAAAAATGAAAGAAAACGACTGTCGTATTTACCTTCACGTGCAGCGACTGGATCATAATCGTGTGGTGTATAATTAGCATCAAAAAATTTTTTAAACCACTGAACAAATTCAAAATTATCTTGAAATTTTCCTTTGACTAATTTTTCGACTGGAACAATCTATATATTGAATTTACAAATTACAAATGAAAATAAGAGCGCGACTGAAATTAACAGAGTACGGATATATGTGGACAAAATAAAAGATGTCTCATCAGATAAAAGATTAAATAATTGTTGGATATCTTTGATGAAGTCATCGTAAAGAGCGAATAAACATAATGAGATTTTCTATTTTTGGCGAGGGATACTGCCAAAAGTTTAAGAAAACTTTTGAAACTAATATTATTTTCCTATGGAAAACTTTTTTTCGCCGTTTTTTTTGAAAATTCCTCTCAAACTATTGGCAGTGCCCGTCGCCAAAAACAGAAAATCTTCTGGGTTATCGAGTGTGCTGAATATGAAAGCGTACTTTTCCGCGACTCTGTATGAACTTTATTTTTCCCTTAATGTTGATATGAATTATCATTGCTTAGTTATCTCTGATGGTTTTAAAGAAAAAATAAGTGTTTTCAGAAAAAATTGATCTTGCTGGTTCACGGGAAAATTTTCGATGAATATTTGTTCGATCCAAAAGTTGTTATGTTGTACATGATTCAATGCAACCTAACGCGGTGATTCAAAATACTTCCTTATTTTTTCTTAAAAGTATTCTTGGACTGAGAAAAATAGATTTTATCGGAAAAATCAACGTTTTTTTGAAAAAACCTATAGCGAAGCCTAGAAACATTTGTGATATGTGTATGCGTGCAGTATATGTAAAAGAACATATTTACAAATTTTGCCCTCATTCTGAGGATGATTAAAAGTGGCAACCTCACTATACTGATGATATATGTTTGGAAGAACAATTGGTTCGGAAAATAATTTTAAAATAATTCAAAAGCAGAGGTTCAAACGAGACAAGCATTTTATAAATGGCTTAGAGGGCATAGATTCAGAATATGCCTGGTTTTTATTTCAAGTGTTGTCAGTTTGTAGAAAAAATAAATTTTTTCTTAAATATAATGTTTTTCAGACTGATTTTTGTTCTAGGAATTTTCTACGACCAACCACACTTGTAACAAAAATTTTTATGCCATGTAATAGAACATAGTTAAAAGTATATGTACCACTATTTAAATCTGAAAACAGACAATTTTCGATTTCCTGTCAAATGTTCATCTGTGTATTCACAGTGCAATAGTTGTTAGTTTTCAGGTGTACACGTATTAGTATTTTATCGGATAAACTGTCTAAATTAAGGATCTTTTAACCAAGAAGCTTTTCAATGGACGATACATAACCAACATTTATTTAAAAAAATCTTAGTTTAAATTTTCTTCCCTTCACGTACGATCTAACTCTAATTAGGCTGATTGCTACATGACATATTATTGCTTTTTTATGTTAATAACTATAATTAAATTTAATTCTAATTTACCCAATTTTTTATCAGAATATGATTGTTACCTTATCAATACGAACAGCTCTAAATGAGTTCTGAAGTACTTTAAAATTTTGAATATTTTCATGCTCTAATTTCGCATTAAATTTCACTTTTTTCAATTGCATTGAACCTATAAACAATTATTTGATTGAGTAATTAAACCAACGAACGAAATAATACAGAGAAGAGTGCAATATGATTATATTTTTAATGAAAAGAAAAAAGACTATAGTTAAATTTGCCGACATCCATGTTACAGATAAATAGATGGATATAAGATAGAGATGCGCATTGATTCAAAATTATTAGTTTATAATCTAATGAGCATAGACAATAATTTATAAATGATTAAGAGTGAAAAATGGAATGTTTATATTTTTTTATTTTGTCCACAATATTTCAGAACAATTTTCAAAATACCTTATCAACATTGAGTGATTTAAATCCTTCCTGTAAAACTTTAAAATTTTGTATATATTCATGTTCTAATTTCGTATTCCATTTGACACGTTTAGTACGTATTGATCCTGGAAGTGTGATGATACATGATTAAATAAATAGAAGCAGAAGTGTGATATCATTACTATTAGTACAATCATGCTCAGATATAATATGTGATAGATGATAATATGCATGCAGCAAGAAATAGATAAAATTATTATAAAATACATACCTGGAAACATCATTTCCATAAATTGACAATACGCTGCACCTAAACGAATGAGATAAATACGATTTCTCTCGCATTAAAATGAAGTCTTGAAAGTATCCAGTACTTTAAACTTGGTATTTTCTATTTCTTTGTTTATGTCTATCGATTGTCTATTATGAGTACGATAAAATAATAGAGCGAACGAAGTACCTCCTCTTATTCTTAAGCAAATACTTACCGGTACATAAATCTTCGACTTTTACATAATTGGCATCGAGTGCATTATTAATCCATTGTAAAATATCATGACGACTTAAATTATCAGTTGTTACACTTGTATGATACACATTTACAGCAGCCATCTTAAAAAATGAGAAACAGATCTTATATTTGAACGTAGAGTATTATGACCATAGTATAAACATAAATTTTTGGAATTAGAATTCTATTTTATTCAAAGTATTAATTTTATCGTGCCATAAAATTGTAAAAATAATACACCATAGTGTACAATTACACAGAGAAGAAAAGATCATTCTGCATTCTATAATGAATCTCAAGTATTGACAAAGTCACACCTTCTACTGAACATATAACAGATCTTTTTTCTTATTGAACAACTAGATGAAAGATGTATACAGGTATTTTTCAATATTTCGTGTCAAAAAATGACGAAGGAATGTTCAAGAATATGACAGATTGTTTTTTATTAAACAAAATGCACAGACATCTATATAAATACCTTTAAGAAATGGTCGTTTATCATAAAAAAAAAAAGAAATATATTACAACAACCTATTTCAAAAGATGTGATGTAGTCCGCTGGCCTATATGTGTATATCCCCATAATCAAGACAAAGAAAACTTTTTTTTTTTTTTTTACCCGTATAGGTAGAGAACAATTGAATAGGTTCATTTATATATACAGATAAATGTATCATATAACGGACAGAACAAAGCGTTCGATTTGTACTACACGCATACAAACAGAATACTCAAAAAGGATGAAGAGATTTTTTCATTTTCTGTTCTTTATTATTAACTAGAGAAAAAATTATCACTTGAACCTCAATGAATTAGAAATCAAGTTCAATTAGACTATAAAATTTTCAATGAGTATCGGAAAGTACACTTCTAATAGGCAGATTTTACCACTGACAATAATCGAAAATTTATACCATCAAAATTAACTAAAGTATATTTGTGAGATATAACTACTTTTCGTGGTAAAGTAATCTTTGTTAAGCTACTTTGCTCATAAAGTAAAAAAGATTTGCTCTATTTACCTAAACGATCACAACTGTTCAATTTCAGGATAACTTTTCGTAAGTTCCTAATAAAAAACTCAAAAAACCGTTCAATTAGGCTTTTAATATACCATGCAAAAGTATCGAGTATTATTTCTGCATGTTCCTGATGAGTTGACGATTTAATTATTTTTCCGTTGGATAGAGCAAAGTCTGAACTTTACAAAACATAAAAAACAAATTTTTCTGTAGAGTTTCAATGAAAAAAAATTTAAATAGGTCACCCAGAAAGCTCTTATAATTTCCTATTCAAATTTATCTCTCTCAACAAAAGTATCTTTCTACTATAAAAGACTAAGTTTGAAATTATGTAATTATAGAAACTAGAAGTGTTTTTATCGTTCTTTCGAGTGGGTGTGATAAATTATCTTTCGATCTACTTTTCAATTAGAAATTCGTAAGTTTTTCATTTATTTCAAAAAAAGAGTTGATTAGACTTGATCAATAATTTTCATATACTAAATGAAGTTTGTCCTTTTGCTAAAACACATTTTCTGAAATAGCATTCAATTCTCTATAAACTCATATTAGTTTTAATTTTTACTGACATATCTTGAGCCCTCAATAACAATTTTCCTCAATGTCGTGCCTTTCTTATAAAAAGTAGAGTTTCTACCAAAACTGTGTTTTATGATAAGTTTTTTTTTACTATTAACGAGTTAATGAGAAATTTTCGGCACTAGACAGATCGATACAGCTTTGCACAGGCGACATTTCCATCTATTTAGTTTTCAAAGTTTTTCTTCTCAGGTTGCAGTAGAAAATTAAAGCAAAAAAATGCGTTGCAAGAACTTTTTCGGAGACGTTTTATATTTATCTTTTTTCTCAATCAAACTCAATTACAAATTCTATGTTCTCAATTCTATTTTCTATCTATGTTCTTTGAAGTTCAGACTTTTCTCTTTCCAACGGAAAAATAATTAAATCGCCAACTTATCAGGAACGTGCAGAAATAATTGCAAAGACTTTCGCATCGCATGTTAGAAACTGGGTGAATGGAATTTACCATTGTACCCAAAGTAAAAAAGCGAGATATTTCAATACTTAGAAAAATAATTGCAAAAAAGAATATTGACGGAAGCGGTATAAAACAAAAAAGCGCAAAATAAATGAAGCACGTAAAAAATGGATCAATTCACTTGACTTTTATAGTCATATCAAAAGTCTGTGTGTGTACGCAAAACATGGAAAAATGGCTCACAGGTACTCTCTGGATGAGCCAATCGGAAGAGCGAATAAGTAAATGATAATTCTACTTTAAATATTTCGAAGATCTGTAGATAATATGACAACTAAGAGAGCGTCAGGCATCATACTGGCCACGTTTAGTTTACAAGAATAAACCAGAAAAACTAAATGGAATAGAGAGCACCATGATGCAGTATGAAAGTACTGTAAGCCAAAAAATTATCTCCAATAATATAACTGAAAACTGCTACGGACCACTAATCACGAAAAAACTACGCCTTAACAGGCAGTTAACCATTAAGTATCTAATGAGCAGTAGCCCTAAGAATTCCGAAGTACTTTAGAAAATTTAGCCTAAACTTAGTATTCTTGTAGTATATTAAGTGAACGTCAACAATTTTTTTGTGACTGAAGCGCTTACTTGTACTTGTGAAAAAAGAACGTTGGGTAACAGATTGATCTACGCGTGAGTGTAGCCTTACGCAGCTTAAGTCAAGGGACTCAGCGAATCGCGTAGATGACTGTTACCTAGTGGAATATAGAAAAGAAAGAAAGAAAGAAAGAAAGAAAGAAAGAAAAAAAAAATCAAGAGCATGGTTCGGAAACAATAATTTGGTTGGCGACCAAATTGACGACTCAAAAACGACAGATTATCATCTATAAGAAATTGCCATTTCAATTTTCTAACAAAATTATTAACATGAAATGCAAAGTAGCACCGTCTAATAACTGAGTAACGTTCGCATAAAAGGACTGTCTTTCAAACATCGATCAAAATTTATGCTCTCCGAGTTGGCCTTTCACACATATATCCTCGTCTAGAAATTCATTCTAGAGCTTATCTAGTAGTCATATCTTATAACGATTTACCTTTGTGAATAACTACAGTATTATCTTATTTTAACCTTAAACAGCTTAGCTAGTCTTTCCAGATTACGAGAGTATTATCTCTGAAAGTAACGAGTAGATAATTAACGTCAAGAGACCTCAAGTGCACATTCAAATTGCCAGCTTTTCATATACTTTTTATGGGCTAATATCTGGAACTACATTGCACCGCTAACAATGTTGCCTGATGAGTGAGACAATGTCATCAAGATGAACCATAGCTATGATGTCTAGCGCTCCCTCGTCTGTTTTTATACATATATGCAAATGTAACACCGCTCGTTGAGAAGAAACTCGTTAGAAATCTCAGACTAAATTCGTTAATGGTAAGCTGTGGTCTCACTACTCGCTACACTCATTTAAGGTATTTATGTTTTAAGTTTTTGCTTGTAAATTTTTTTTATTGTTTTAACTTTATGCAATTTAGAAGCTTACAGTAGTGTAGTACAAGTGGCAAAATCAATTTGAACAAATATGTATGCGGATATTGATGATGAAGGAATCGATCTTGAGGAAGTAGCTATCGAACATTCTCCGAAGCGTTTGAATGATGATGAATTATATAATATTCATGAATGTACGTTACAAATGTATCGTCAAAATAAAATATGCTCAAAAAATGCATTCAACCTAAAATTATTAGAATATTTACCAGCCATCTTGGAACGAAAAGGAAAAATCTCCAATATTGATAATGATGATGATATAATAACAGCGTTTCAATCCGTGGGGACCACGTTAGACGCTTCAGGTAAGAGTTTATTCGAGATTACGCTTTCTCAAATCTACGAACGATTGTTGAGTATACTGAATCGTCACCCATTTTCTTCTACGTGTGTAGAATATATAACATAGCTGAACTAATATTCTTCATCTAGCAATGCTTAACCGAAGATTAGCGTACTGCTCTCTGTTTGATCAATGTAAATAGATTATCTTAATACTTTTGTCTTCATTTGTAGCTAAAATTTACGCTGCTAGAATTGATTCATTACATTATGAAACAATCAAAGCTCAAACATTATTGAAATCAAATGATTTACAACATCAAGAAGATATTCGGACGTCTGAGAAACGTAGCAATTTTGATAGTGATAATTATGATGAAGATCTAGATAATGAGGATGGTGAATGTATAAGACAAAAAACGAAGAAAAGTCGTATTCTAGCTAGGAAAAAGACAATTGTTAATGATAGAAGAAAATTGTTAAGAAAACAAGCGTCGGTTGACATGATGCCCGTGATGAATACATTTTTTTTATCAGCGATGAATAATGATAATATATTATTAAGTGAATTGTACGAAAAATTACATTCATCAACACACAAAAAAGCAACATCTACTACGAATATCAGCAACAACAAGGTACATCCTTTAGTTATTCGTTCTGCGATTCCATATTCTGCACAGCACCAAACAAAGACGAAAAGTCTATTGAGGCTAGCTAAGATCATTAAGAAGCTGAACGATCTTCTATTGTAATAAAAAAGTATAGGTTAGGCTACAACGTAATAAATTTTGTCTTTTAGGAAGTAACTGATGAGATTCTGAATATGGACTTGACACCAATATCACAGTCTGTGACAACCGCTAGTTGTATCGATGATAACAATTATGGACGAATATCGCCCATAACATTGTCTGAAAAATTACACATTGTTACTGGCATGGATGAACTGAACTTTGAGTTGGACATCGGTGTTCGAACACCGTTGCTGGGTAAGCTAGAATTTAAAGACACTTGAAAAATGATTATCTGTGGTTATTATTGATTTTTTAGTTGATACTCAGTTATCGTCCGAACTAGCCACTCAGGCGACAATGACGGCGAATGATAGTATAATAACACCATTACTCGTTGAAACATGTCCAGAAGAAAATACATCATTATCGATTGACTTTAGTCCAAATGGAAGTTTGTCTTATCCATCGCCCGCATGTTCCAGTACACCTCCACCCTCTACACCGTCTATTGTTTCTCATGACCGTTTTCGTAGTGCAAGTGTCTCTAGTAGCTGTATTTTAACCAATATCAGCCAGTTATTGTCAGATAAACCAAGCGAATACTCTTATTTCGATAAAATACGATTAGACGAATTTGCATCAAAATCCCCGTCTGTCACATCGGATTGGACCGCAACACTAAATAGCGATGATAACAGTAATCATCACACTGACAGACCTCAAACGCCAAAAGCGGGCATATTAAAACGTAAATTAAGTATCGAATTTCCATTCTTAAATCAAAAAAAAAAAATGATTAGAAAAACAAAACAACAATCAACATTAATAAACAGACGATTGTCAGTTGAATTGGATTTTCCGTGTGGTTCAGATAATGATCAATTAGACATATCAACAGCATCCTCGTTAGTTATAACAGATATTAACGAAAAATCACAATCGTCCATGTCGTCCGCACTTCTATCACCCAATAGTTTTACAAAGATGACGACGACAGATTGTGTACAAACATCTCTTCTTCAAGATTCATCTCTCATACTCCATGATAATATTAGTTGTACGCCGATGCTAAACTATGATAACGATTCTATTTCACCACAACATACACAATCTGCAACATCCGTAACAGCAAAGGCAACGACTGCTGCAGGAGAAAAATTTGATTTTCTCGTACCAATGATACCTGTACAAAAAAAACAGTCGATTGATGTTAGAAATCTACAAAAATTAATGCACAGAATAATAACAAATAAAATCAATGATCGATCATCGGATAACAACGCTTCCACGTTTTCGGAGGTCTATGAAAATCTAACAACACAATTACCTTCTTCTACCACTACTACAACCATTAATTCAGTAGTTCCCTCAAGCAGATCGATTGGTATCTATTTTAGTGCTTTACTAAATAATGCAGTTTTGAACAAATGGAATTTAACATCAAATAAACAATGTGACGATATTGAAATTTCACCACAAAAATCAAACACGCCCACCTACAGATAAATATACAGTAAGGGTTATACAATACACTAAAGCAGGAAGAAAACCCTGTTATGTTAGCTGTCTGTACATTAAACAATATACTTTCTACCAAAGTAATTATTATGGATTTTGCTGCTGTTTTCCACACTGCTATAATAATCTTGTTTTGTTTTGTTGTAATTCTCTCACTACAAGTGACAGTTCGCACAATACGTCATTTGTATATTCTCAGTAAAGAATAAAAAGTGTGCAAATCGAATCTCTATGTTTTTTTTTTTTCGTGTGACTCCAGATAGTCAACATTTGTTTTGTTTTTGTTAATTCATGATTTTTTGCATGTACTATCTGTTGGTGTTTCTGGCATTGTTTTTCCGATAATCTATCCTCTTCAAGAAAAAAACATTATTTTTTCTTCTGAAAGTTTGTTTTTCTCTTTTTACACAACAGTATTGGTTACGCAAAACGTGAATATATTATTTTTTCTTGTGTACAGTAAGTGTTTTTACTCTCTTGTTTACATACAATAAAAATAGCAGATATCCGTTTGTATTATTATTTTTCTTTTACTTGCTGTTAGATGTTACAAGGGGATTATCTCCGGTATGTTGAAGAAATTTGAATTTTTTTGTTGTTAATTTTAATTACTGTCGAATCTTGAATTTTACGATAGTTTAGTTGTAATTAGAAACTATTTAGTTTCGAGATATATTCTATTAAAAACTCGAAATAAAAGCAAAAACCGCTAGTGGCCTAGTGTTATTCGGTGCAGTTTTTCACTAAAAACATTTATTTAAATTAAGACGCATACAATTAAAGTAAAAAGATATCGTCAACATTTTTTAGACTTTGATCTGTGGTAGAATGGAACCGCATTTGGTACTAATTTTTAACGTAGCATCAAGATCTCCACGTGTCTTTCCAATGTTAACAATAGCAATTGGTAGTTTATTTTCTTTTGCTTTAATAATGAAGCGGTAGGATGACATTACCTTTGAAGAAGAGAAGAAGACTTGATAAAAACGACTTGAATGAATTTATCTACATACTTCTAAACTTGATCCAGCTACTAAAACACTATCGCTGTCATCAATTTGACTTTTAAGAAAATTTACAAGTTTACGATCAACATTGTCCCCAAAGAACGTTACATTTGGTTTAACACGTCCAGAACATTCTGGACACCTTGGAGGCTAAAACGACGAAAGTGATTTAATCTAGATGTGAAGCAGTGATCAACCTTTTGATCTTACTTTGAAATCTGATAATTGCTCTGGTGATAAATAGACATCAGCATCTGGATTGACTTCATCAGATTTAACTGTGAAAGTTGGATTTTCGTTTTTCATCATTGTTTGTATGTCACTTCTTGACATTTGATTGAATGAACAATCAACACATACAACACGAGCACTACAACCATGGAGTTCGCTTAACAATTTACAACCAGCCATTGTTAATAACGAATCAACATTTTGGGTGACGTGCCAATGGACCAATAAAGCAAAAAAAAACAGAAGTAAACAATAATGCCACAAAACCTACTTATCTAACATGTCTTAGAAAGTGTCATAATTCATGGTCTTTCATATGATCGCTTTAAAACGTCCTAAACATTCCTGACAACTAATGCGTTACAGATAAAAGTAAATGCTAGTAAACTCACTTTACCATTTCGTTCCCACTGATAGAAAGTCTCATGAGTAATATTTGGTTTGAAAGATGTGAATTTTGGATGACCGACATAGTTTCGTGCCCAATACATTCTATAATATTCTGGTTTGTTCAGAAAATCATGATACATCATTGGTCTCTTTGTACTTCTTGCATATAGTCCTACGCCTGCTGATCTGTAGTCAGGAATACCTGAAAACATTTAAGAATATTTTTAATATAGAAGTGAATACATAGTTTTAGAATTGTTATTACCGGATTCTGTAGAAATGCCAGCACCAGTAATGATGAACAATCGTTTTGAATTTGAAATAAATTCTTGTAAAAGTATGATATCATTAGTAGATGGTTCCGTGTACATTGGAACATATTTTTCAGTCGGCAGTGAGAAAGAAGATGAATATAATTTGAAAAAGATGTGTGCTTTTGATAGACCCATAGATTGTCTCTTTGTACAAAATTTAAGCATCCTTTATTTCATATAATATATCTGAAAATCTGTTAATAAATTTTTCGATTTTCAGCATTGATTAATCGTCTGGGATTAGTCAGCTTATTATAGTTTTTGTTTAACTCGAACACAGATTTTGACAATGTCTTCTGTCCTTCGTTAAGCCTAAGATAAATATGAAGTCCTGTTATAATAAATTAGAATCGTCAAAAGAAATAGCTTGTAGAATGAACCTGTCTGGAATTAGTTGACTGTCTTCTGACACGTTAGTTCAATCTATGAATTTTTTCGTTTTTCGCAGAAATTTCCGTAAAATAGCATTGCTGTGTACATTTTGAAGATGATATACTTGCAGTATACACATTTTGCTTTTTCAACAATTCCTTGTTAATTAAGCCTAAGAGATGATTAGTTCAAAACAACCTCATTTAATAGCCTGGATTTTCCTCGTTCACCATATAGTTTTGAGCTCATTATCATTTAAACTCATTACGCTGATTAGGAAGGACACCATCAGCTGTACTCGAAATTGTCTTTTTTCGATTTTTATGGATTGGTGTAAATAGAGACACTCCACTGGAATACACGGGATCCTCAGAAGCAAATCTCTGCCACCTCCTAGAAGTAAATTTTGATATTAAATTAAACGACGAAGTTGTTTAAAATCCTAAACTCTATCACATATGTAAAAATTAGCTCATTATTTCAGTGGATAAACTTTCATATTGGCTTCACAGTACATGCAGTCCGGTCTCATGACTTATATCCTAATCGGGATAAAATTTCGATCGGGAAATTAAATATGATAACTAGAAACAGGCAACTTTGATAAAAATCTTCTGTTTATGGCTTGCATTAGAATCTGTATCGAATGCAAAAACAATCATCTGAAAATTATGACAACTACACAAGATAACATCTCATTATCGACATATGCCCCGTTTCAAGGACTCATATAAAATATTATATAAAGTGATGAATCACTCGTAAAGCAATGATATTACACCTTACGTTAGTATTCTTCATATACAACAATAATTAAAATAAGTTTAATATCAAGAATGAAAAACCAACTACAGAGTGTGCTTATTAATTAAAATGAATTGCGTCATTGGCACAACGTCTAATTGTACAAAATGTGCAGAGGAATGGATGTTGAGTACCAGAACAATAAAGACAGGCTTCTTTAACGCAAGCTGTGCGTTGGATGAAAGATGTGGTTGACTTCTTATATTGATAACAATCAGGATAAGTCATGGGGTTAGATGAATAAGGCTGAGAAAATGAATCAATAGTCATATAATGATTTAAAATAGCATTTGAATAACCTTATTAAGAAAAAAGTAAGGTAGGATACGGATAGTTATACGCATCGCCTAATCAGTTCATCATACCTGTACAGTTGTTATACGCTGTATTTTCGTTTTTATTTACCTGTATAGTTCGATGAAAAATCGTTCAGATTCGATAATGGAGCATTAAGTGATGGATATGCATTAGCAAGATCATTAGACGTTGAATCATTGTACAAAAATGAAGGATGAGATACATTACTTAAAGTTGTAAATGTCTGATTAGTTCGCATGATTGTTTGCACCAGATGTGACGCACTTGTGAAATTACCTTGTGTAGCTGTCACAATTTTCAGATGATTGTTTTTGCATTCAATAGAGATTCTGATGCAAGCCATAAATAGAAGATTTGATCAAAGTCGCCTGTCTCTAGTTGTCATAATTAATTTTAAATTTAATTTAGTCCATAAAATATATTTAAATTTATATCCCATGTCAGTTCGGTCTCATGTTGCGAACAGGATAATTTTCCCGATTGGCTTATAGAGTATATCGGGAATGGGATACATATCTCGATCGGGATATGTATCCCATTCGAGATATCGAGATATTCTGATCGAGCTATGTTACCAAACAGATTGGAAAACCTTTATAAAACATATGTGGTCAGCCATCGATCGGAATAAGTAAGATTTTAAAGTCTCAGTTAGCAAATTTAGGTAATCACATGTGGAATGATCATTCTAGAATGTTACTATTCTCAACTAGGATCTCAAGACTCCGATATGTTGGAAAACTACCGTAGGGCTAAAAGTTTAAAAAAAGCGAGCCATACTTTTAAAGCTGGACTTTCAGCGAATCTATCGAGATGCAAATAACAACTCCATCGCTTAACACAAAAAACTAGATAGATTTACAAAACCCCTTCCTCACATTTTAGAAGTGTCCATACTGGACAGGCTTTTGACTTCAGAATTGATAAAACATCACTTTTATATTCAGTTTTTTAACGCTGAATCAGAAAAACCAACTTTGAAAAAGCTAGAAGAGCAAATAAGACGAAAATTCAAACTTTATTGGATTGGAACTAAGCGATTTTTCAACTTTTTACATTCTTCTAGTATTTTCGATTTTTCGACATAAAAAAAATTGTTTTTAAAATTATGAAATACATTCTCGATGAGCTTTATCAATGATGAATAATAAGTTAGGCAAAAAAAATTTGCTTTATTTCTGCATTACGTGCACCTTAACTAAATTTTATAAAAGTAATTTTTCTTTCTTACTTAATCTGCCAAAGGACGACCATATTTCGTCGTCAATTGACTTTATATTTGAAAGCTTTGCTCCACAACAGAGAGCGACAAAAGTGTTTATGCAGCCTATATCAACACGTTGGCAAAACCTTTCTGTTTTAGGTTGTCATCATTCGATACATGGAGATCCTCAATCATTTATAAGCAGTTTTAAGTGCGCGTTCTATCCGATGATGCTTGCGGATCCCAGTTACCAGCTTTCATTTTTCCTCAAAACGAAAGTTTTTTGAGAAAATCAAAAACAGCGTTCAGGATATATTTTATATCTCGATCAGGATGTGCGAGTTTTCATCGAATTTTCTATAGTACCCTTAGCAATGCATTACAGTAGATCCCATGGAATCTGGATCAGTTTTGAACGCTCTCTCGAATGCATTGTCCGTTTTTTATTTAAATATAAAACGGATCCCAAAAAACGATTCATTGTTTTTTATAGATCGATCGGGTTATGCAGAATATCTCGGTCAGGATTTGTAGTGCAATCGAGATATATCGTATAGGCTGATCGGGATTTTATCCCGATTATAAGTCATGAGACCAGACTGCATGTACTGTGAAGCCAATATGAAAGTTTATCCACTGGAATAATGAGCTAATTTTTATATATGTGATAGAGTTTAGGATTTTAAACAACTTCGCCGTTTAATTTAATATCAAAATTCGTTTCTAGGAGGTGGCAGAGATTTGTTTCTGAGAAGCCCGTGTATTTCAGTGGAGTGTCTCTATTTACTCCAAATTACTCTATTTACTTATTAACCAGAATAGAATTATTTTCAAATTTCTATTGATTAATCATGTATATATCACTCAACGTAAAAAATTTTACCTTCCTAGTAAACAAAAAGCTTGCGCTTGACTTCTTAATGTTTATTTAAGGTTGAAATAAAACGAAAAGTTTTCTCTTCACAATCCTAATACACATCGTTCAAATGCAGAAGATTTTACTAAAGTAGTTATGATAATGGCTCTTCCACTGTCGCTCTTTTTTTTCTTCGTATGCAGAAGCTGATGCGCTCAGAAAGAAAATCAGAGAAAACTGACATGATAGTAGCTGTCATAATTTGTCAAAAATATTTATTCTTATATCAGTGTCGACAAAACTTAACGGAAGAGAAAATGAAAACGGAGGTCCACCGAGAAAACTTTCTTATTCTAATTAAAATGTTATAATCATTATAACATTTTAATTAGAATAAGAAAGTTTGAATGAGAATGATTCAGCTAATTTTGGCCTTTATTTGCGAAAAAGTCTGACCTGTCTGATAGAAATTATTGACTGATCTACCTTTCGTCGGTATTGATTTTCAACAATGAAGTAGTAGAAGCGGCTGTTATAAGTATTATTTTGGAGGGAAGATTGTTGAAGAAATTTTGTTTTCAGAGTAGGCTCTCGGATACGTTATTGATTGCTAAGGATCAATGTTTTAACAACACGGTGAATAACCGGAATTGTCACTGTATTTTATCTTGAAAAAGTGAAATCTGCGGTAGTTTTCACTTTATTTCTAACTGCAAATTTGGTTGTGAAGTAGATTCTAATTTAATTCCAAATTCTAAGTGTAAAACTACCAATGTCAAGTGTCGAAAAACTCACCATAACAAAATTTTCTATTAAAGACACTGCTAAGAACTTTTCTGCAGTTGAAACGTCAGGACTCCCGACAGTTAAAGATTCCATATTACTTAAACTCAGCATTAGACGCATTTTATTTGTTTTTTTACGTGAGATTATAATCGGTTGTCTATACTCTTATCATCATTCTCGTTATGTAACAAAACTGTTTTGATTGGCTTTTCTAAAACATATTTTTATGTGCGACTGAAGGATCCTCTAAAGAGGTACAATACGAAATTTGAATTGGTCATGAGAGAAAGATCAATTATCTCAAATCGAACTCGACTTCACTTGATCAATCTTAGTTTCTTCATTTGAGAAATTATTAGTGTTATTTGTATAAAATAGATGAGCACAGTTATTATTTACAGTTAACATTGGTTTTTGTTGTTATTTTTCTTCTCTCGCCTCCTTACTCCAAAGAAAGAAAGTCCAACAACAATTGATTTTAGTGAAATTTACTTTTAGATTAATGTTAGGTGAATATTCTACTGCCTCACTTTCAGTGAAACAGTTACAAGATTATTGTTTAAATGGCAAGACTGACTCAAATGATGTACAATTATTTCTAAAAACGCAAATCGATAATAACGAAAACTTTGAAACTTTAACGAATTTATTCAAATTATACATACCTGGTGATCTACCATTAGCCGAATTCAGCAAAAAAGGTATTTCATCAATTATAGCACTGATATAGATCAGAGACGTTAAAAAAATTCATGTCTTTTGTATATTTTCAGTCTTACTTTATGATAGTTCGACTGTTTGTGGATTAGTTTGGACTGCTCATTTTGTGGCCTATCGGTGTCGGTTAGTGAATTTGACATCGTTTGTCTCGTCATCCACTTTATCGGGTCAAATTTTGCTCTGTTTTTTTTTCAGAACATGTAGCATTAGTCCTTGTATGTCAATTTGTGCAGAATGCTTCAGAAATGGTAATCACGAAGGTCATAACTATAACATGTTTAAGAGCCAAGCGGGTGGCGCATGTGATTGTGGTGACGCAAGTGTCATGCACGCATCTGGGTAGTTATTCACTACAAAAGTTAAATGCTCTTTTTATAAAACTGTTACGATTATTTTAGATTTTGTACTCACCATGGACCTGGTCGTCCACAAATGGACCATCCACCTAGGGAACTTATTTGTTGCGCTGAATTTCTCATACCGTACACACTTAAATGTTTAGTAAAAGCATTGCGTATGGCAGGTTTCCTTGGTACATAATAAATATTTAGTTTGTTTGAGTTCTTATTGTTTATTGTTTCGTTTTCTTCCAGACAAACAAAATGAAGGGCCTGAGTTACTTGATCTACTGAACAAACTGTCGGATTTAGGCTCTGCTATTCAGATATATATCACCAATGCGCTGGTTGACGAAGAATTATATCGAAATTTTACCACAGATAGTGAGTGTATCCAAGATAAAACTACACAAGATTACGCTTGTTTGATCTTCTACTTTAGACGAATCTAAAAAAGCTTATTATTATGATTATTTGAAACAAATATTTGATGCAATACCAAACGTCTATTTTGCTGATAATTTGATTGATAATGGTGATGTTACTGAAAAAATGCCATTCGATATTGGAATAAAAACATTATTAGATGAACTGATGTTTTGGTGTGTTTATGCTCAACTACCAGAAGATTTAGTACGATTTTTGTTAAGTTTATTACCAAATTTAAACTTTAAAGTAAGCTGTGTATGTATGATCAAACAGATCTTATTACTTCATTTTGTTTACTTTATTAGATGTTATTTACGAAAACATTTTTACGCTATTACGGCATGATTTTATTATCATTGGTTAGTGACAGTAATTCGTCCGACGATATTCCCAGCCGTCTTGTACATATTAGTGTTCAATTGTTTAGTAGTCATTCAATAACAGAATATGCAATGAATAGCTGTCATCTTATTTCTGTTGTGCTATCATGTATTTGGAATATGTTCGAAAATAAAGAACAATTACTCATACCACATCCACTAGCATGTACAGTCACTTTTACTCATAGTCTTTTCTCATTATGAATTTATTGTGTTTTGTACGTAGTAAAAATAATAAAATTTTCATTTTAGTACGTAAAAATTCAGATGAAGAAATCGGCGATGTTACTGGTACGGCCGTTGTTGTTGATGTTGATCATACATTAATTAAACGAAATTTATATTGGCCATTAGTCAGTGATTTTGTTAATATATTATCGCACAAAAATATCACCGTAACGATTTTAGAAAATCCAAAATATTTTTCATTATGGTTAAAATTTGTTTCACTCTTTCAAGGTAATTATTAATAATCGCTTCAATAATTTGATATGAAATCTGGTAGTATGTTTGTTTAGGAATGAATGTGAATCATCGTGTTTTTTCACATCATGTTGAATATGAACCTCAAAGTTATCTGTATGCATTTACAACTGAATTGGAAATATGTGCTGCCGCAATGTGGTGTATGATTAATCATATACAAACAGATGTAAGTAAGTTTGAAAATATGAGAGTAGTTGTGTTGTTCTCACTATCGTTTACGTTTGCTGTAAAGGTGTCAGTAAATTTGATTGTATCTACAATGAAGTGGTTAGTAAAAAGTGTCGAAGATTGGCTAACAGCAATTGATTATAGCTCAACAACACATGTAAGATATCTGGTTTTCTTCTTTATTTTAGCTTACATATCATTTTTATTTCTCGTTATAGTCTTATCCAGGGAGATTAACATTTCATTTGCCGCTACATCGCTATATGTCGGTATTTGCACACAATGCTATATACAATTATAATGTTCATCCATCAACCTTTTTACCAATAACAAATCAAGCAAAGCTATTCGATTTATTATTTTATCCATTGAAAGCTGTGGTACGAGCTATTTTGCCAGTCGCACTTTTACGCTAGCTTTTTTTTTGTTTTTCTAGAGCGGCTATCATGAAATTCTAGCAAATTTATGGCTGAGAAATGGTTCTCAAATAACTGTTCAAGCTAAAACATATTCTAAAAGGTCAGAATTTGATTAGTGTTGCTGGTATTGTAATTGTTTTCCGTTTTTAGTGCTTTTTCACCGTCTATGCACGACGCTGATTTATTTTTTATTCAGGTAAAACGAATCCCGCTGTGATTTTTGTTAGATTATTTCATTTTTTCTTGTTGTATAGTTATTGGCAAGTTACATTGAGCCAAATGCATTTATGAGTTATTTATTATCAAAGTAAGACGAAAGATCTTTCTTTCCATATTAGATGATGCTGTTGTTGTTGTTATACCATTAGATTTTATGTCAACGATTGGTTATGTTATCATCAGCGACAGTCAGCCTATTTGGAAGACACGCAAGATGTGCCAATGTTTGAAAGTGCATTGATCACAATAGTAGCTATACTTTCTTTTCACCCCTTTATTGGTAAGCCAGACGAACAATATTTTCGTTCTTAATATTCATTATTTTCTTTTATATTTTACTAGTTATTCGCAATCCCAAACGAACACGTTCAGAAGTCATAACAATTTTATGTGCAAATAATCGTTTATATAGTGAAATTGAAGAAAACATACCTGATGCATCACCAATGGGAACAAATCGAAAAGAAATTGAAACAATTTTAATTGACGTAAGAATTAGAGTTTTATGAAACTTATTAATTGATTCACAACGATTATTACTTTTTACCAGGTAGCTGATTATGTTGCTCCATCTGTGGAATTACTTGGTAGTCTTCAACAAGGAAAATACGTCTTAAAAGGTAATTGAAGACAACGACTAAGTAGATGATCTAAAATAGTTGATTTTTACCATAGGTTATATATGGGAAACTGAATATGATCCAGTATGTGTACTTGTACGATGGTCCAAAAGATTATATTTCAATAATGCCTTAGAACGATATTCAACTTAGTAAGTAGAAGGAATCGGACAGAGGTTATTAATACAATTTTAGACATAAGAAGTTTTGCCTTACTCAGAAACAATCGATTTCGAATACAATATTGCGGCATACAATATTTGAATGTAACTATAGTGATCTTTACTCTATGAGCACGTGTAGCTTCATACCAGCTTCATTTCCATCCTTACAGAATTATCTCATTAACTATTTTTTAAATTTATTCCTTGCATTGTGTCATCTATACGCTTTTTTTCTATGTCTAGTATTAAACAAAAAGGTCTTTTTAAAACGATACATCAGTTATGGCCACCATTTCGTTTTCCTGAATTTGATCACCCTTATTTGGCAAATTTACAAAATCTTTTGCAATCACGTGTGTTACATGGATGCTTATTTATGTCATTGGACGCCGTATGTCAGAAAAAATGAGTTACAGTATTTGTTCAGAATTTAATTTTTATCTGTATTTGTAGTATCTCAAAGATAAACGAGTCACTGAAAATATTCTTTATCTAACTGTATATTTGATAGAAATGGCTGTTATACAGGTAAAAAATTCAAATACATTATATTTTTAATACTTAATCTTTTTCAAATTTCAGATAAGCGAATTATCTTCGTCATCGAACGAACAAAATAATGTAGAAATGACGTCAACAAACGAAAAGGATGAAGTAAGCACAATTAATAGAAAACAACGAGAATTATAACTCTGTTTTTCTGTTTAGGTTGATAAGGAAGTGATATGTGAAGAGACAAAATGTGTTCAAGATAGTCAATATGAAACCTATTATGATTTTGACAATATTTTAGTTAATATGAGTACAATTATTATTAAAGTGAATCAGCAAGAAGAACGTTTAGAACTTGACGATCGTAACGAACAACTTCGGTCAAGTACATTATCTTCGCAAGAAACAACAGAAGGTGAAAAAATTCATCTAAACTCAATAATATACAATAAATTTTTTCAACTTTAGACATTCAAAAATCTTCAAAACCATCTCGTACAGTTTACACTCAAACATCAACAAAAATTACCACAGTATCAGAATATGTGAATGAAAGTATTATATCTTTATTATTGAAAATATTATATCGTATGCGACTAGACACGTTTTTTGACATTATGAAATCAATATTGAATAATGAGTGTAAACCGTCAACATCAAGAATTGGGGATGGACAATATTTTATTAGTCAGATATTAGCACGTTGTATACAATCATCAGAAAAATGTCGATCACACGTGAATAATGAAACAAACAAACTGAAAACTCTTTATTCGAATCAAAAACCATCAGGAACAAAAGCAGACATGACGATGGAACAAAAGTATGTTTCCAAACTCGTAATACTGAGTGAACTCTGTCTATTGCATTATCGATCTTGTATGCTGAAATTCTCCTTACAGTCGTCTCATTGCCATCTTTTTATCAATTTTAGAAGAGCAAGAGCTAAAGCTCGTCAACAAAAACTTCTGGCTGAAATAGCTCAATCTCAAATGGCCTATATCAATGAACAGACCTCTGATGATCAGTCGAGATTACATGGTATTTCTGATCAGCCTCAAACATCTCATCATTCTGATCATCTAACGACAGCAACAACAAATCCAGCAGGAACTGTAATAGATCAATATGAATGTTGCATATGTCGAGTATCAAAGGAAGATAATAAAACACAAATGGGTCTTATTGGTATCAGTTATTCATCGATATGTATGTCAGTCATTCTCACACCCATTCTGTGTACAAAAAATCCTTTGCTTTAGTGCCCAGTATCCAATATTCTCATGCGAATGAACCAAACACGACATCAGTGACGATGAAAGTATATTATACAAATTATATTGCAAAGTTACTATCGCTTTATCGTCAACCAGTACGTACACTCAATAAATTTGGTATGGTGATTTACTTTTTTTTTTGCACAGGATATTGTTAGCTATGGTGTCAATAATAGATGGTTGAATTCATGTTTAATTCATTCATGTGGACATTGTATTCATTTGGAATGTTTAACATCTTATTTAAAATCGCTTCATCCGGTAATAATCTTTTCATTGCTATCTATTGGTGTTCAAACTAATCATTTTTTTACTGTTTCAAGCACCCAACATCACTCGGATTGTCCATCAATCAAGAATTTCGTTGTCCATTGTGTCGCCAGTATGCCAATACCCTGATACCAATTTTCGATTCATACGATTATTTAGATGATAAGCGCCAACAACAACAACGATCTTTATCAATTATCGAACAAATAACGCAGCAGCTGTCACATCCTATTAGATCGCTTTTAGTATGATGAATTTATTGCTGTTCGTACAGTCAAATAGTGGACTCAGTGATTTTTTGAATAACTCGAAAACGGAAAAAGAGAGAGAGTTTTAGCTTTCGATAATTGATAAAGAGGACTAAGACACATCTTTTCGTCTGTATAACAAATTTTGAAATCTAATTCGGAAGTAGGACTTTGACAAGATGTTTGGAAAATCAGTCTGAGTCTCTGGAGACAACATGGCAATACAATGGTCGTTTTACGTGAATAGATAGCTTAAAGTGTCTTTTGATAAAAAGACTCAAATGAGGCCTTTGTTTTCGGTGATTCATAAAAAAATGGTATCGAATTTGCTTGCAGCACCACAATTGATACCCTTTGACTTGCAGGATGACCTTGAAATTGTATAGTATATATAATCGACAGTGCAAACTCTTGTGGTATTGTTTGTTTTGAAGTAAAGTGTCCAAAATCTTGTGAAAAGCAGCTTTTCAAAAATCTGTGTTTTCAGGCTGACTCAGGACTAAACAAGTCACACATCACTTAACATATATGATAGACTTCAAAACGTTAGAACTTACAGAATTTTGACTATTCTTTTGTCTATTAATAAGCAATATACTAGCAAAATCTTACAGTTTTTCCGGCTGTAAAATTCGATGCCGCATTCAAATTAAAGCATTGTCGATATGTTGATACTGATGTCGTCTTAGATACCAACTGGTTGGGTACTTTCGGAACTACAAAACAAAAATTTTAAAACAAAAATTTGAGAAAATTGACTTCATTTTGTAACATAAGAAGCGTTTCAACCTGTACTTGAATATCACGGTAAAACTGACGATGAATCATAGTTTTTCTTCTAGTTATCCTATTCAACTGCATGAGACATATCGCTACCGTCTTCTTTATTTATTTGCTTTCTCACATACTCATTCACACTGCTCGTATGCAAAACATCTAAGAAAAACAGAAGGATGTATTCTTTGTCTTTTCATCTGAGCAATCCTTCTTTGATTTACAAAAGAGTATTTTACTACCGAAGTACCGATACCGACAATTGCCTCATAGGGATCACCGAAAACAAAGGCCTCATTTGATTCTTTTTATCAAAAGACACTTTAAGCTATCTATTCACTTAAAACAACCATTGTATTGTCATGTTATCTCCAGAGACTCAGACTGATGTTCCAAACATCTTGTCAAAGTCCTACTTCCGAATTAGATTTCAAAATTTGTTATACAGACGAAAAGATGTGTCTTAGTCTTCTTTATCAATTATCGAAAGCTAAAACTCTCTCTCTTTTTCCGTTTTCGAGTTATTCAAAAAATCACTGAGTCCACTACTGAGCTGACAGTAGTTACATACAACCTTTCTGAACAGTAGAAAGTTCTGGATGCTGACGTACTTTCTCATTGGTCAACAACTAATGAAACTAACTTTGTTTTTAAATTAGAGTGATGAACAATGCACAAAATATTTACAAGCGTTTAAAACGGTGGTTGCTGCGAATACAATGGATAATTTGATATCGCCCGTTAGTCCATTATACATAAAAACTGAATATGAAGTGCACAGTGTTGATCAAAAAGAAGCAGAGATCAGTTGTGCTTTATTGAGGTAAGATTTTTAACTGTCTGAAAAATTTAAATACATGTAGCATGTAATTCTGTTTCTCATAATTAGAGCACAAATTGAACATGATATCATATTTTATGATAATAGTTCAAGTTCAAATCAGAAAAACATACGAAAATCCTATTATAGTAAGTGTGTGCTCTCTGTGTGTTGATTTTTACTGCATATTCTTTTTGTTTTACATCCTAGAGCATATGCATGAACTTATGCACATTAGCTATCCTTTTTGTCATCAACGTTTATGGACGGAATTAACTGGATTACAATGTGCTATTACTGATAATGAGTGAGTAGCAAAATAGAAAATAGATTGACATGAAGTGCTTTATGAATCAAAGATTGATCTAAACCTTTTTTTAGTGCATTTCACAACGAAGAAAAACTAATGGCGATTTTGCTACGTGATCCGATAACAATGTTATATCAACTAATAATGAGTATACCAACAAAGATATTAACAGGTAAATATGTGCATCTGTTAAAAAAAATATAAGAAGAAGATCTGTAAAGATGTCAAAAGTTTGCTTGTTTTCACATTGTTGGATATGATGATAAGTTGTTTTCATTCGCTCGTGTTTTGCGAGCATCCTTTAATATGAAGCCTATTAATATCTCTCTATTGCTTTTTTTTGCTTGTTGTAGAACAGTATGATACACTCGTTCAAGTTGTATACAATGTTGAATATATCAAAAACTTAATTTCCATTCTACGGCGATTATCAGATCAAGACAAATTAGACTTGTCAACGACAACACATCAGACGTTAAAGGTTTGTATCAATTCGCCTTGTAACAAATAACAGCAAATTTTATATATCTGTTTCTTAGGCACTAAAGAGTTTTGATATAATAATCATTTTCATTTAGCAAGATGAAATATCAACAAATGCATATATAAGTGAATGTTTAACAATGTTAAACGATAGCGACTTATCTGCTGAATCGGGAAACGATATGATGGATGAAGGACAATCACAATCCGAGGTATGTCAGTATGAATGTTAAGAGCTTTTAACAATATTATTTGTGCCACTCATTTTTAGAAAATTGCTCGACCAATTGAATCAATCGAAGCCGAATTAACGAAAAATTGTACTTATTATATCAAAGTAGCATCATTAATCAAGTATCGATTATATTCAGAGGAAATGCCATGGAAAGTATGTTCTCATTTGCATTTGACACATTTATATTTAAATTAGTTTTTGAAAGGTAGTATTTGTGGCAAATCATTTTTCTTTCCACCGATATTTCAATTCGTAGGTTCGTCTCTATCATATTTCTCTGATTTTTCCATAAATTATTCGCGTTAAACACGTGTTATTAGTTACTAAAGTGCGTACACGTGGAAACTCTGTTTTACTGTTAAATTTTTTTCAATAGATTGGAGAATTAATACCAATTGAACAACTCGTGCCACTATTGGCTGATTATTTGAATCTATCGAGAAAACCAAACGGGTTACCAGTTCCTCGTTGGTTTTGTAGTGAACCATTGATTTTACTTCGTACATGGTTGGAAGAAGTGAATAATTGCGCAAGACATTCTGCAAGCATGACTAAGGTACACTTTATATATAGCAAGATTCTTTAATATTTAAAATGACTGGTTCATCTGCAGGCGTGCTTTATTACTCAACCAGTGTTTAATCCTCCGAGATTAATCGATTTACCTCAAAAATATGAAGATTTATATCGTTTGTATAGCGAGTATCAATGCAAGGTGTGCTCTGAGACGACAACTCAAGTATTATTATGTTTAATTTGTGGCGGTTCATTTGTAAAACGTTATCAACCGTCCTGTTGCGATTATCAACGAAACAGAGCGAAACAAGTAACGATCTACAGAAAGAGTTCTTAATCAAATGTCAATATTAACGTTTTTCTATTTTCAGCATGATAATGATTGCGGTAAACCAGCTGCATTGATGCTGGATATTCAATCAACAATTGTACACATTTACCGTCCAAACCGTTCTGGTCAGTGGGGCTCATTATATCTCGGTAAGATACTCTTTCATCTTTGTCAGGCATAATCATACTTCTAATTTTTTATTTCAAGATCAACACGATGAAGAAGATATTGATTTAAAACGAGGAAAAACGTTATATTTAAACCAAAAGCGTGTACAAGTGTTACGGTCTTTATGGTTAACATCAGCATTTGAGTATCAAGTACAAGTGTGGATTCCGTATCGCAGTACTACCTAATGTAATTCTGATACTTTGCTCTCTATTTTTTGTCTTTTGTTGGTTATTTAATTAAATAATTAAGTTTAATTTTTTTAGTTATGTAGTTTAAGAGAGAGTCCATCTAAATATCGCTCATCTTCTACATTTAGATTTATCTTAAGTTTTTATTCAATAAGGTCGGTCTTAGATTAAAGCTATGAATACGAGTTAAAAAACTTTTCTAAAAACATTTATCTCCATCGAGGTCCAGAGATAGTTGTTTTTCCGAATTTAGCTCTAAAAATCTGAAAAGCGTCTCATTCTATTCGGTTTTATATGATGAACACGAATATCTGATATGTTTTAAATGAAAATGTAACTCAACAATGAAATTTTGAAGGAGACTCAAAAACTCGTATATCAAATTTTTTGCTTTCACCACATTTTTTTGCAGTCCCACATTTTGATAGACTCACTCTTAATCATTTTCCTCATCTATACAGACATTCAAGCAGTGTATACATGCGTTTATTGCATTTATGTATACATAAACGCATTCAAAGAGATATTTTTTTATTTACCTCATCTCTATTTTTTTTGTATATCGAACAGTGCTAGAAAAAAAATAAAATAAATAAACACGCAATTTTTTTGGCTCCTTTTACGTTTATTTTTGCCTTGTTCTTTTTTATCGTGTTTATGTATGTTGTTGGAATATACTAAAGAAACACTAACATTTTGGTTTTGATTTTGCTTTGTCGAATAAATTGAAAAGTTAGAAAGCTTGTCGCTGACAATATGATATCGTTATAGTTTATTCTGATATTATGCCATTGATCATGCCAGTTACAAAGGTACGATATATCTCTAATCATTTAATTATTTAATTTGATGTGAATTGAAGAGCAGAAAATTCTGTACAAAATGAACTATAAGCAAGCTCTGAACGATATCTAATTAAGCAGTATGAGACTATCTTTTATCAATCTTTCTTTCAAAGATCTGATAGCACATAGAACTGGCAGAAAAATAAAATCATTTTCTATCAAACTGATTATACAAAAAAGAATGGTCTCAAACTGTTTAATTAGATATCGTTCAGAGCCCGCTTATGGCTCATTTTGTGCAGAATTTTCTGCTCTTCAATTCACACTAAATTAAAAAATTTCAGAACGAAAAGTTTCTATAGAAGAGATGTCGCTACTAAACTGCTTCAAGAATCTACTTTTTTAGCCTGATTTGAAAAACCTGTTTAAGTTTGTATTGGAAATTGAGATTTGATGCTGTTTTAAATATAAAATTTCTACTTTATTATTACTATACGAAAATTTTATGTTTTATGTAAACTAAAATTTTTCAAAAATTTTTTTTTGCACTAGGAAGCTAGCACTTTTTTCTTTATGATATTTCGTTCAAAAGATACTCGAAGAAGAAAGTTTTTTTATAATTGTATGCTCACCTTTTGGCTCACTGTTTATTCCGTTTCTAATCTGGTTGTTCGATAAACTTAAGAGATTAGATCTCAAAAGTGAATTATCTCTTATTATCATAGACGATAAAATGTTATCATAATTGCTCGCCAAATTCAACTCTTTTATCAGTTATACACATTTTCTTCGAACAAGATCGCATTATGAGCCTATGGCTTGTTTAATCGAGCATATCCATTAAAACGTGCAAAGAATTCTCTATATTTTATACTATAGAAAATAATTATGTAACAAGATCCATACCTTATAAGTCATATACAAAAAATGTGTTTGTAGTTTTTCCATAGAAAACTTAAATTAAACTTACTCTCTTTTGTAACAAAAACTGAACGTTACTATTTTACCTATTTCATAGGTTTTGTAGAGTGCGGATAGCTGCATCTTTTGGTCATTATTTTTAAAACTATACGTGACGGATAATCCCGCTCTGAAAAAAGGTTACTTTTCACATCTTAGTAATACTATTACTAGGACGTAAAAGGTATATCAGCATACCATAAAAACTAGACAAAATTCTGCATCGTTTAAGTCTAGAACGAAGTTTTAAAAGTTATTTAATCAGGTTGAAAAAAAATCAAGTTTTTCAATCTGAGTTTGACACCAGAGGACTATAGGTACTGAAACTTTTGCCAATTCTTAGCGTCATTGTTAAATATAAATGATTAATTAGTGTAAAACTTAACGATCGATTGTTGTCTGGTAGAGACCTGCACGGGTTAAGAAAACCTAACCCGAATCCGACCCGCACCCGATCCGACAACAACTTAACCCGAACCCGACCCGACCCGATAATATCTGAACCCGAACCTGACCCGACCCGATGAAAACAATCTCACCAGAAAACTGTGTTTGAGAAAGAATATAGACTTGCCTTGTTAGACAAAAGTTTTTCGGCGCATATTATAGAATCTCGTAGTTTAAAAAAAAATTTTTGAATGACTTCTGATTGGTCATTTTGTTTAAAAGGTTAATCTATTGAAAATTTCTCAGTACACTTTGTCAATAGATTATCTTAACCGAGATGATGACCACATCCTTTTTCTCATTGGTCAGTCAGTATCACCTAATACTAAGATAGCAAGTAGAGAGCATTATAGTAAAGTCTTCTATGT